CACATGCTTGTTTATATATTTACCAATCAGCTCAGGTGGCCAAGCAATTACAATAACAAACTCGTAATACGTGGTAAACGCTGTATCATGAGGTACAAGGAGTTGCCACATGGGTTCAGGCCCTGATCCAATATCCAGTAAACTCAGAAAGAAAGAAAACTTCACTGGCCCCAACAAATTTTTCACTGAATCTTCACTTATGCTAGAACTCTTTTTGGAAGAAAAATCACAAGACTAAAATTCAAGCAACACACATGATTGGTGTGGACAAGTGACACCATTTCTCAAAGGTATTGAATGTTCTACACCACCACAGGTTTTTGATCTTGAACCAGAAAACACCAAGTACTTGCTAATAACACCTACTTTTGCCCAGGTGAATGAATATTGAAGCTTCTGTTTCACTGACTTTCATGTTGTGTTAACACAGAAAGATGTGGTATTTTCAAGAAGCATGAGAACTTCTTAAAGAGAAAAACTTGGCAGCAATGTGCTTTTTACAGTCATGGTGTCTTATTGTTGTCATGATTGAGCTTGGGAGTGGGAACAAGAAGTTTGGCTTTTGTGGCCTTGGATAAGTCACTTGACCTTTCTGTAGGGAGGATTCAAGTACATCTAGAGCTTTCTTGAACTTAGGTCCTTGAAGTCATCTATCTGCCTCAGTCCACAATGACAAGAAGGAAGACAGAGGCAGGCAAGATGGAGGAGATGGAATGGGAAGGATCAGAACAATCTCCGCTATCTTAATGCCTTACATACTCCCCGTCCTCCTAAAGTAAGTGCTCAAATTCTTTGGTTCAAAAGACAGACTCCCGGGATTCCTTCTTCTTTGGCAAATGCTTTCATCCCTCAGGTGTATAGCTGCTGGAGCAATAGGAGATTTGTTTTCAGCACTGAAAACGTCTGTGTTTTCAGGCTTCTGTGTGTACTCGCCCAGATTTTAGGCTGTTCTTCACATAAACCTTGACCCTAAAAAAGCTCTTGATGTGATGGAAGCACTTCTTATTAACAGATACCTCAAATTAATTATCAAGGAGGTGAATAGTGGGTTTACGTGTCTACAAGTCAGTGCTAGAAAACAGATGTTCCAGATATCTGTCTGGGATTTTTTGCATAATTGCATGGGTTACTAACCTTGCTAAGCCGGGATCGCTTTAGGTGAGATTAAAGTTGCCTGGGTAGTACTCATGACTTTTTGTTTGCTCTTGTCACTTACAAATGGTACATAGGAAGCTTTTAGCTGAGAAATCAAATGAAATGGTGCATAAGTTTTTGGTGTAGGATGCTAAGGTACTGTTTTAATATTTTAGGAAAGGTTACCAAGGCAGCGGATGGAGAAGCTGTACTGCTTAAAGAGAAAGGCGATGAAAATAAAACCTGACAGTTGAGGTAATTTGATTCAAGAAATAACAATAAATACTCTTGAACTGAGGTTGGATCAGGTGCGTGAAAATTCTCCTTAGACTGCTCAATTTTTGGTGAGCAATTACCACAGTAAGAGCAAAACGTCTCCTTTCCTGTGAGTTGGCTAAGCAGATGAGAGCCACTACTCTGGCTGAAATAGCCATTAATGGGAAAATTATGTCTTGAACCTCTGATGCGTTTGAAAAGTGAGAGAACATTTCTTTCCTGTTGACAGACTGGAAGTCAATTGAGAATTAAACACACAGAAAAAAGATTAATGTCCTGAACCTGCACATTTTGTTATGCAAGTAGACTACTTCTCTAAAGCTGGCCTCTGTTAAAATCTCTCAGTTCCTGAGGACAGGCAATTGATCGCTGGCACATCAAGTTCTGCTCTGTCCCACCCAATAATTCCTCACTTCCCATGTTCTTTCTCTCTGCTTCCCAACCTAAGACCAGTGCAGTCTCTTGCATTCTGATTTGTTGCTCTTTCCCCTGTAACCAAGATTCTTTAATTTCTTGAAAGATGTAGCATCTTCCTCTCATTCCCCACCTTACTTGATAATCCAGAAGACATTTTTTCAGAAGTACAATTTTTTCTGTACTGCTCTAAAATGCCCAGGTTTCAAATAATCTTGAAAACCAAGGAATTATTAAAACCCTGCTTTGTTCCTTGACCTTTTCATTTGCTCCAGTCAAATTTTCTTCCCTCTATTTTGCCTGCAAACTCCCTGGTTGCATTCTTGCTTGCTCTGCTTTGACCTCTTTTCATCTAGCTGCTTTAAATTCCCAGGAATCTCATTCCTGACCTTCCTGCAGCAGCAGAGCTACTGCTGCCAGCCTCGCCAGGGAATTTCTGCCTTGCTCACCTTTCCCTAGCTCATCAGTTCTTAATCAGCTCTATATTTGATGATATGCATATACTTATTTTTACTTGATTTTCAACCAGTTCAGGGTTCTCTTAGCTCTGGCTGCTTTTTCACTGTGTTCCTCACAACCTGTCAGGACCAATCAGAGAACCACAGAAACACACTCAGTGGAGGAATATAAGAAAAGAGGTACCTAAGGCAGGTACTAAGAGATACTGGCAGTGACTGAAGGAAGAAGAAGGAGCCAGAGCCCTTTCCATTCACACTCACTCCACCCCTGAACGGCCCTTTTTTCTGCACTCTCCTCCCCCACTGTATGCTACACTTGGCTCTCCCCCTGTCTCCCTGGTCACCTCTACAGACTCTTCTCACAACATGCTTGAACTGTGAGGCTTATCAGGGACCACTTGAAAGCCCTTGGAGATATATTTAGATAGAAAACAGAAATTAACTACTCCATGGGTATTCCCATAGCACCTGAAACAATTACCTATTGCACTTACAGGTGAAGCTGGGGAAAGGCTGGCATTTCAAGTGCATCTGTATTCCAGATGCCTTTGCCATCCGTATCTCCCATAACCCTCTATGGTGTCTCTATCACAAGATGTGCAGAGGAAAGTCTGATTTATGTGTATGCACGCTGAACTCGTGCCAAAAGTAGATCTCTGTAGGTTCTCAGATGAAGCAAAGACAAAACAAAGAAGTTGAAAAATATATTTATAGGGAAAAAAAAACCCACACCAAAACCCAAACCCCCAGAAACCCAGCCCAAGAAGTAAGGGAAAGGAAATAAAGGGCAAAAATTGTGACCTCTGAGTTCTGGAGAAGGCTTGGCTATTCAGAGTGTAGGATGGAAACAGTCCTATCACTCAAGCTAGATACTAAACAAATTTAAACATGTATCGGAAAGACGGGCTATTTTAAAACTTAGCCCAGATGTTTCTATAGTTCTTTCAAGATTAAAAGAAACAGCAGTATAGATAGATTATACATTGCAACTAAAAGGAGGAAAAAAGCATTTTTACAGTGTTCTGATAATTAGTAAAAGGTCACAAGCTTATTGTACAAGCCTGGTACATGTCTGTGCAAACCTCATCTTTGTGGGATGTCCAGTCAGATCAAAAGCTTCTTTGTGGACCCAGGAAATGCATATGAAGGAATGGGCAATGATCTGGTAGGTAACGAGACAGGCTAGATTTTTGCCAATATAAATACATTTACATTAGTATCTTATCAGCATAACTAGGTCATTTGAGGGTGACGACTTCTATGTATTTTTTTACTAATGTAGATTCTAGGCACACATTTCCTGGGGCAAAGGAAGATTAGCTTCCTCGGTTGATGCAGTGTGTGTTTCCAGATGACATGGTAGTGGTCACATCCACTTTAAACCCAGGCTGCATCTGGACTTGGCAAGGACCTAGAAACACTTTAAAATAAATGCAGATCAACTATCAAATGAATGTTTCTTATGATTCCCCAAACTAGTATCAGATATGTAGGTATGGCTCAGTTCCAATCAGTAGGTTTCACCGATGCATCTTTTCCAGTTTAATATATCAGCAGAATCCTCCAGGGCACGTCTGTATGATTGTTTAAGGTGTTCATGCAGCAAGCAAAGGCAACGCACGCCCCAGCATTAAACTAGCTGTTCATGTTCAGCATGTTCAACTAACGTGCTCATACTACACCAAACATAGGAGCACAGGACAGAGATTTCTGAACTATTGTCAGCTTTCACTGGGACAGCCACAGAGTGTCATGTGGAACCAAGCAGAGATGCTAGCTTGGCTCACAAATCAGTGTGGTTTCCCCAGAGCTGTGTTACACCTGAATCTCTAAATTCCACATCTTTGCAGGGTTGCTAAGTTTGTGTGGAGGTGTTTGAGAATCAAGTAGACGAATCCCTGAGCTACCTGATCTAATTAAGCCTGCTTTGAGCCCAGTGTTTGACCAGATGACCTCCAGAGGTCCCTTCCAACCTGAATTATCCTGAGCCGATGCTAACGCACCTATATTGCATCCAGTTGCAGTATTAGTGTCACCTCTACATAATGCTCCACAAAAACCTGCTAGGACTGCCCTTATATAAAAAAAAAATAAAAAAAATAAAAAAAATGCATGTGTGTATTGTGAACTAACTGGATAAATGCTTCATCTAAAAGAGGCCAGGGCACTTTTCCTAGTGGTCCATGCTCTTCCTGAGACAGCTACAGCAAAGCTAACTTCGTCATGTATCTATGCTGCAGTCTCCCCTCCAGGTGTGCAGTGTGTGTGGTCTGAGTAATTCTCTGATACCCAGAGAAATGTGAAAACTTCAGGTTCTTGGTTTAAGTAAGAAAGCATGAGTATTGAACCTGGTGTGTGAAGAGAGCACCTCGTTTGCCAGAACAATGAAAGCAGTATTTCCAGATTAAGAACATACTAGATTTTTTTCATAATGCTTCAATAAATAAGATGATTGCAGTGAAAGGACTATTAACGACTGTTTTCTCAAGTGTGGCCCAGGGCTGTGGACGAAGTGTCAGCAAGGAGCAGTTCTCTGACAAGCAAACAAGCTGACGGTGTTTAGAAACTCCCTTAGAGACACGGGGCCTTTGTTTTGTTTCTCACTCCACAACATGACAAAGAGGAAGAATTTAGGTGGAGCTGATGTAACCTAGGGAAAACACACTGCGATCTTCCTCCAGTTTGCATCCTGCAAACATGAAGGACAGGGTCGTAAAGATGATGAAGAGCATGTTCCTTCTGCTCATTTTGCTGGGAGTAGTGACTGGTAAGAACATGATTTCATTATGTTACTAAAATTAGAACACTGTTGGCTGTTATACTTTCTCTCGGGAGCTTTATAATATTTAGGGATCAGACACAGATGGAAAAAATCAAGTAACAATTATTTTCCTACTGAAATAGATTGAGCTCTGTGGTTACAGCACTATAATGAAGAAGAGAATATGACTCCTTGCTAAGACACTTTGCTGGATGAGGCAGTTCACAGTGCAATAGCCACTGCTCAGTATGACAGTGTTGGAGTGGGAAAGGAGGTCACTTCTCCGTGAAACAATATCTCATATGAATACTCCGGTGTTCTCCTTTCTGCCCAGCAGATGAAGGGAAGGTGGTGGAGATAGTTTTTCTGGATTTTAGTAAGGCTTTTGATACTGTTACTGTCAGCATCCTTCCGGACAAGTTGTCCAACTGTGGGATGAGCATTACAAGGTGCACTGAATGAAGAACTGGATGAAAGGCAGAGCTCAAAGGGTTGTAGAGAATGGGACTACATCTGGCTGGTGACTGGTAACCAGTGGAGTTCCTCAGAGTTCAATTCTGGGGCCAGTTCTGTTCAATATATTTGTCAATGGCCTGGATGCAGGAGTTGAACGCACCATAAACAAATTTGCTGATGGTACCAAACTGGGAGGTGCTGCTGTCTCTTGAGGGACAAGATGCCTTGCAGAGGGATCTAGATAGGTTGGAGCATTGTGCTATGATTAATGGGTTGAAATTTAACAAGTCCAAATGGCAGATTCTGCACCTAGGATGGAGTAATGCCCTGCACAAGTATAAACTGGGAGAGAAGTGGCTGGAGAGCAGCCCTGCAGAAAGGGATCTGAGGGTGCTGGTTGACAGCAGGCTCAACAGGAGTCAACAGTGTGCCCTGGCAGCCAAGAGGGCAAACTGCATCCTGGGGTGCATCAAACAGCATCACTAGCCAGTCAAAAGAGGTGATTATCCTGCTGTATTCAGCATTGGTGTGGCCTCGCCTCGAGCACTCTGTGCAGTTCTGGGCCCCACAGTTTAAGAAGGATGTGGAGGTCCTTGAATGCATCCAGAGGAGGGCAACAAAGCTGGTGAAAGGACTGGAAGGAATGTCCTTCTATGAGGAGCAGCTAAAGACTTTGGGCTTGTTTAGTATGGAGAAAGGAGGCCAAGGGGGGACCTCATTGCTCTCTACAGCTTCCTCAGGAGGGGAAGCGCAGAGGGAGGTGCTGAGCTCTTCTTCCTGATGTTCAGTGATAGGACATGTGGGAATGGTTCAAAGCTGTGCCAGGGGAGGTTTAGACTGGACATTAGGAAGCATTGCTCTACTGAGCGGGTGGTCAAACACCAGGACAGGGTTCCTAGAGAGATGGTCGATGAGACAAGATGCCTTGCAGAGGGATCTAGATAGGTTGGAGCATTGGGCTATGATTAATGGGTTGAAATTTAACAAGTCCAAATGGCAGATTCTGCACCTAGGATGGAGTAATGCCCTGCACAAGTATAAACTGGGAGAGAAGTGGCTGGAGAGCAGCCCTGCAGAAAGGGATCTGAGGGTGCTGGTTGACAGCAGGCTCAACAGGAGTCAACAGTGTGCCCTGGCAGCCAAGAGGGCAAACTGCATCCTGGGGTGCATCAAACAGCATCACTAGCCAGTCAAAAGAGGTGATTATCCTGCTGTATTCAGCATTGGTGTGGCCTCACCTCGAGCACTCTGTGCAGTTCTGGGCCCCACAGTTTAAGAAGGATGTGGAGGTCCTTGAATGCATCCAGAGGAGGGCAACAAAGCTGGTGAAAGGACTGGAAGGAATGTCCTTCTATGAGGAGCAGCTAAAGACTTTGGGCTTGTTTAGTATGGAGAAAGGAGGCCAAGGGGGGACCTCATTGCTCTCTACAGCTTCCTCAGGAGGGGAAGCGCAGAGGGAGGTGCTGAGCTCTTCTTCCTGATGTTCAGTGATAGGACATGTGGGAATGGTTCAAAGCTGTGCCAGGGGAGGTTTAGACTGGACATTAGGAAGCATTGCTCTACTGAGCTGGTGGTCAAACACCAGGACAGGGTTCCTAGAGAGATGGTCGATGACCCAAGCCTGTCAGCATTTAAGAGGCATTCAGACAATGCCCTTTATAATATAATTTAACTTTTGGTCAGCCCTGACTTGGTCAGGCATTTTGACTAGATGATGATTGTAGGTCCCTTCCAACTGAAATTATTCTATTCTATTCTATTCTATTCTATTCTATTCTATTCTATTCTATGCCATTCCATGCCATTCCATGCCATTCTGTTCCATACTATGCTATGCTATTCCATGCTATGCTATGCTGTTCCTTTCAAATATTGATGCTATGCTATTCCTTTCAAATATTGATAACATTTCTATTTGTTGAAATGAAACAAGCAACCAAACAGGATGGAACTGAAAAATACTTGTGGAGAGTATTATTAGGGTAATATCGGTGTCTTTGCCCAGTGTAAAAACAGGGGAGAATTGCCAATACAAATATGTGCGCACTAGCATCTTAAAGTAGATCTTCAAACTGCAGTCTGTGGGGCTACACGGAGCACCTTTTTTTGCTTGTAGCAAGCAAGCTGCTCAGGTAGGGTCAGTTTGCTCTCAAGGAACTGAAAGAGTTCTGGTAGCCCTCAGAAACCTGTCAGTATTTGGTGGTTTTCTGTGATGTCCCCAAAACTGTGGTTGGGACACTGCATGTGGGTCTCAACTTTCTGTGAAGAATACCATTTTTCTAACCTGCATGGTTGTGGAGAGAGAAAAACTGGAAGGTGTCACTCAAGCACACTGTAAAGACTAACAAACCACACACAAATAAGACTTAAATGTACATGTACTTCACAAAGCCAGTCTCATGATTGCTTTGTCTTGGACTCAGCATTTGTCAATGTTTCGAGTTGGTAATTCTGATAAATAATGTATTAAATTGCTTCAGGCATGTTTTGTTCTCCAAAGTAAGGAGGTAAGCAAGGACTTGTGAATATGGAGGGAGGGACTTTTGTAAAATCAGTTTGAAGAAGAAGAAGCCATTTAGATGCAGTACTGAAAAATTCAGTTAAAAATAAAGAGCAAGAAGTAAGAACTTATGATTTAGGAAGGCAAATCCTGAATAAACAGCCAATGAAATCTTTTGAGATAATATAAAAATAGCAGCTCTTTTCTTTTTACATTTCTAAATGTTATAAATGATTTCATTGATTTTATGAATGGTTTCCATTAATGAATTGTGGCTTGCTGAGAGAACCGGTTTCATTAGGTATTGTCCACAGGAGATTAAATTCAAAGCTCAGCTCCACTTATGGAAATGTATCCCCGAAAGCCTCTCTCAGCTCAGTCTGATTTGCAGGGGCAATTTTTGTTGCTGATGTTTACCAGAATCTCTAAGAACATTGATGAAACCTCAGTGCTTCACTGGGTCTTGCTTCCACTGACATGAATCAGTAATGCCTCAGCTGAATTTAGTCTTCGTCCATGTGAAGTGCCATGCAATTGTGGAGAGGCACCAGGGAAGTGCCTCAGCTCTGCCTCTTATCAGTGAGGCCCTGTGCTCAGAAGAGGTCTTCCTGGAGATGAACTCTTTGGCCACAGCCTAGTATGGCTGGTTCCATCAACCCCACCCTCCATGCTCCCTCCTTCTCCTCCCCACAATGCAGTGAGACTTGCAGGCTGCAAGAGGAGGGACTGGAGGTGTCTGATGGAGTCATGCTGCTTAGAGGTGCTCGAGGAAACCTTGCAAGGACAAGAGCACCTTGCAGGGGGATGTGGGAAGAAAGGGGACCATGGGGCTCCATGCATTGTCTCATGAACTCAACAACTGCTATTAGTTTTCCTTCTCATGTAGCAAAGGCACTGGGACCCTAAGTCTTCTCTAATCTTTGAGGAACAGTTACTTGAGAGGCCAGTGATAGGAGTAATGTCTATCACACAACGGCCATATGTGGTCTATCCCTAAAACACTCAAAAATTTTGCTAGGAATGCAGGGAAACAAGATTTTGGATAGTTGGGCAGAAGTCACCAAGGCTCCTTCTAATGTCATTGGAAAGCATTGAAGCTGAACTCTCCCCCTCCAGATTAAAGATCCTGCTGCCATTGGAGGAATGGCAATTAGGGTGCCTCTTTGGTAGCTGCTATGGGCCATCCTTTACCAGCTACATGAGAAGGGGCAAAGGGAGATGGTTCTCTCCCACACCACATCGGTGCTGCCAAGCAGCAGATTTCCCCTTGGCACTACATTCCCAAGTTCCAGGCTGAGCCTGAGCATCCAAACAGAAACACACTGCGGCCCTAATGGCTCCAGACTAGTTCCCGTAGCAGCTTTTTACTTTGCAGCTGCCTAGCAAAAATAAAGACTTCACAGAGTTTTTGCTACAGTAATTGCTGGTGTATGAACAGCCTGGCCAGGACAGGCTGTATCTGCCTCTGTCTTGGCACACGGTGTGTAGGAGATTTTACTGAACACAGCCAGCTGTTGTCTTATTCTTGGCCAACCTGGCCCAAACCATGACAATGAGACTATCAGATACCACAGCACACTGTACTGCTTCAGGGTGCTTTTGGGGGCCCCCTCACATCTCCTCCAAGGAATGGAGGTTGCTCTTCCATTCTCAAAGCTGAAGACACAACAGCACAACATCCCAGAGTTGTTGCTGACTCCCACTACTGATGAGGCAGACGTGCACATAAAGAGAAAGAAAAGGGGAAACAAAGGAAAAGGACACTGTGGATGGTGTAGTTCACATAAAAATTTGCTGCTTTAACATCCAGGTCTGTGTGACTCAAGGTGCTTTTTGATGTGATTAGTGTATAGAGGCAGACATTAGCACAGGGATGAGATGAAATCATAGAAGCGTGTTTGGTTTCTTTGCTTCTATATAAAGGCATATATGAAGGCAAATGATGGATTAACAACAGTACTTCAACATCAGCCACTCTAGGTGACAACAGCAGAGTACTGAATTAGAGACAAGATTGATTCTTTTGCCATTAGTACTGCATTTACTACTGTGTGATGCCACCGTTCATTAGCAAAAGGAGAACCATGCCATTTTGTGCTCATTAATGGCAGCTCTTGGCACAAGCTGTGTGCTCCTGCTACCCTAAGATTCCCAGAAGTAATTTTACATTCATTTTCGTCTTGCAGGAAGAAGAATCCAGTTGCTTCAGGGCTTACCTGCAACAAGCACTATTGAAGAGAATGCGGCCGCTGGTGTTTCAGTTTATACCTTTAATGTAACGGTTTCTCCAATGTCTTCTGAAGGTGTTGCAATACCTCCTACCATAGTAAACTCAAATCCACTTACAGAGGCTTTTGATATTGAACCGAAAGGAGATCTTGAATTCAGTGTGAGTTTTACATTTAGCTTGAGCAATGTTCAGTCATGTAGGCTGATGTTTCCTGGATTACTGAGCACTGACAGCGCACAGTGACTCATCTTTTAATCGGAAAAGAGTTGCAAATGTGTTAGTATTTGGACGTGCTGTAATAGATATGACAAATGAGTAGCAGTAGTGATTATAATTTTTAATTGCATCTAGGCAAAAAACACCTATCACAGTAATTCCATTTATTCTGTAATAGAAAAAATGTGATTTTTGGAAAAGAAGAGTGAAGAAGGACATATAGACCTGCTTCTGTTTTGAGGATTTATCAGTAGTTTCTCATCTTAATTTATACAAAGTCACTGTGAATTTAAAGTGGCTTAGTTAAACCACATGCAGGTTCTGTTTGGCCATTCTCACCTAGAACTAAAATGAATTTGACTCACTTCCAAAATAATGTAAGCTGAGTCAGATCAAAGTCATATTTAATTCTGAATGAAGGCTGTGACACATGAGGAAGTTTATCTTGAGGTAAGAAGTTATCACACTTCCACACATCTGTGGTCTATTTCTGTCTATTGCGTGCTCTTGTCCTATGGCAAATGCAAAGCCATTTCTATTACTTCACGCTAATTTTCATTGCTGGATAAATTAGCAAGTATTAGCTCCCATTTGTCACTGACAATGAGTGTTCAGATGCATGATAACTTGTCATCCCATTGTAACTCACTTGTATGTCTGAGCCTGAACAGTGACGCTGAGGAGTGTCTTTGGAAGATACGGATAGACACTGAGTAAAGACTTTAAAAGTTAATTTGAATACATTTTTTCTGGGTATTTCCAAGGAAGTTCAGATTTTCACAGAACTGAAACTCTTTTCTCTCTGAGTTCTTTTCTCATTCTCTTTGCTGCTTTTTCTGGGAGAAAACTTGGGGGAAGTAAGACAGTGATACCAGACAGTTTTGGCTCATTGACCTGACCTGCCTGTGGGGAGCTGCTTGTGTTCCCGTGCTCCCACCTCCCTGCAGAGCACAGTCGTGCCAGCTCTGCTGGTTCTTTAGCTTCTCCCCAGCCAGATCAGTGAAATGGTCAAAAAAAACCTCTCAAAAAAAGCCCTTTTTCACCTGTGAAGCATAGGATGTGGCCACATAAGCTCTCTCAGCTGTGGGGATGTAACAGCCAGATGGAAATGGATATGTCCCTTAAGCTGGCTTTCCTGACAGAGAATTCATGGTATGGGACTCCCTTCCTAGGCTGTATTTTGGCATTTGGAATTAAAGCTATCCCTTCTGCTGTGAAACATAGCCCTTTTTTTATATCTGCTCATTCCTGTCCCGTGCCTTCTCTACACTGTGCAGCACAGGCATTTGATGTTGCTGCTTGTTGAGTGCAGCTGAGAAATTAATCTGGAGGAAAAAAGTATCTTCCTTGTTTTTTCGTTCCTTGTTTTGTTTTCATGGCAGGGATGATGGAGAGATTCTTGTTCTAGCACAGTGCAGAGAGTGACACAAGGATAAAAATGAATGGCTGAGAAAGGTATAGGCTGGAGACTGCTTCTTCCAAAGTGTCAGTTTATATCCATTTCACACCACAGCCCCATTACCAGAATGGTCTGTGAGGACTTAGTGTGTCTTGCTTGAACTGTAGCTATTTTCAGGGTTTCCTAACTCACTCGAGGGACTAGAACAAAGCGGTTGGGCCAGTGAATAACAGTCATGAGCAAATCGTAAGGAAAGCTACATATGAATTCTGGAAACTAGCAGCTGAGCGAACATACACAACTCATAAGGCAAAGATAAATACTCATGAGTGTCCTTAGCTTATTTGATGAGCATTGCTGCTTTTAATTATTTATGCTATGTTGCAGCATATTGGTATAATATTTTGCAAAAGTCATGTGATCCAAGATGAGATACCTCAGCTCTACTTACTGCCATTAAATCTTTGACAGGATATAGAAAGAGGCAGTATTTCATGTATGAATTATGGGGTTTGCAGATTAGCTAAGTACCTGTTACCACAGCCTTTTCTGTATTTCTGGAGCACATCTACTCCTGTTGCAGCAAGCCTAGGCAGTATCACATTTCTGGCTGCCTTTTGAGATTTCTGAGAAAGCCACAGTTAGTGAGATCTGAGCCCTGCCCATACCTCCTCTCTCTACTTGTTTGAAGAGTCCCACAATGTGCTGAATGCGTGAAAGCATCCTGCTGCCCAAAGTTGCCTTGAGGCTGCTAGTGATGCTTCCTCTGCACCCTGGGCGCGGAGCAGGGAGATTCTCAGGTGGAATGAGGGGTAGACAGTCACAGGCTGACTCCCTTTCATGAAGTCTGCAGCTGCCTCAAGTGTGTGCAGTGCTGCATTTAACAGTAAGTATTGCTCCTGCTGGAGGAGAGGTGAACTGTGGCTTGCAGGCTATGCCACTGACAAGCTGTCCTCGAAGGCAATCTAGAAATAGACCATGTAGATTCACATCTTCACTGGCAAGGTCTCTGTAAAGGAGGGTAGAAGATGTGTATTTAGGCTGTCTGCCTGTAGTTACAACACCAATGAAAATATTTGGCTGTGAACTGTAGGGTTGATCCCCAGAGCACATAAGTTCTGCTTAGAATTGGACAGTTTCTCATTCTGAATTCATTGTGTCTGTTTACTGTATCTAGATCTCCAGCAAACATTCATTTTGGTGAGCTACCTTCCCATTGGTGTTACAAGCTTTTGTGGGATGTTTTTCCTGAGTTAGCATCACTTTTATGGGAAACTGCTATTTGCACAATATAGGAGGGGAGGAGACCATCCAGGACACAGTTGTTTTCTCCTGCAGTATTGTAACAAGGAGAACCATAATGTTCCAGAGAGCAACTCTTTCACATAACAGAAGCATAAAACATTTGTGCCCCTGTTTGCTCTTCTCCAACTGTCTTCGTTAATTGGCTCTATTTTGGCTTCTGTCTTCTAATTTTGCTGACATCACTTTTTCATTTTTCCTCTGGCCATGGCATCTCACCTAAAATTAAGGAAGTGTTCTCCTTCTGCATCCTCTCCAGGCTCCTCCACTCTGCAGTAGTATGACTACACTGACACACTCCTTGTCACACACACCTGTGAGAGCCCATTCTTCTCCAGATCCAGAGCACCCATGCTGCTGGTACTCAACCTTCAGAGTTTTTTTAGCTACACAGCAAATTTAACAGTCAATTTAACAGAAAGGAAACTTCTTGTTTCTTTCTTAGTTTCGGGAGTGAATGTCATAGCATACAACTTCAGCATCCTGCTCTTGCTCTGGTCTCCTCCTAACTCCAAAATGAATGTATTTAATGTTTTTTCATGGAATGTCGGTCTTGTGCTTGTAAATCTTCTGTGTTAAGAGGTGATATGCAGAGCTGGAAGTCTTAAAAAAAATCCTCTAAAGCAAATGTTTGCTTTACTAAGGCAGTACTACTTCCTAATAAAACTTCAGGCCTATGTTATTTTTTCATTAGTTCAACATTTTCACCAAACAGCTCTGGTCCCTCTCTCATACAGTGTGCTTGTGCAGCTCCCCTCTTTGTTTTCCTGCAAGTCTTCTCCCAGACACTGCTTATACAAGGAAGGGGCTGCTACCTGCTAGACTATACAGTCTCCTGCCCCTCCACTTCTTATCGCAAGTAAAAGATCTTCCCCCTTGTGCTCCTGACTCATAGACACAGTGAAGCTGCCCTTGTGTCCTGCAGGGCTTCCTCCCATTTTTCAGTCTCATCACACCTCGACTGCTCCTGAAGCTTGGTCAGAAAAGCTGAAGACTTGGTACAAGCAAGGACCTGCAAGGTGCAGTCATGGCCTTGAAGGCAAAGCATTGCTTGTGGAGCAGAATAGCTCCTTCCAGGCTTTGTCCTCCTGAAACTGTCCCTCACACAAGAGGTCCTTACTTACTGATGGAAAATGTCCCTTCACTTGTATTCACTCGTATAGACTATAACTTATATTTCTTGCATCACGTGCTAATAATAATATTTTCTTTTCAGGTTGTTACCACTGGAAATCCTGTCCTAGATTATGAAACTATGCCAAAGAGCTTTGATTTACAGATTTTTGTTGAAGATACAACTGGGAGAACTGACCTTAGCGTACTGACTGTCCAAATAAAAGATAAAAATGAACGTCCTGTATTTCGAGGAAATTTGGCAATTCAAAGTAAGATAATGGTGGTATTTGACAAGGACAATACTTGAAAAGACAGCCTCAGATTAAAAAAGTCCTATAGCTGCATACAATGCCTGTAGCTAAAGTGATCTAAGCATTTTCCTTTAGTAAAACAAAGGAGGAACAGGAAACTGTCCTTATTGGACCTTTATTTTGCATAAATATTTGGTATGAATCATCCCTAGAAATGACCTTATAGTTTTCTTGAATTTTTGACCAAAAATGATTTAACCATTTGAAGCACCTGAAGAACTAAAAGAAAATGAAAAAGTTTTTTGTACCAATAAATATATATGTTCTTTTTTGATGAGATGAATACCTACCTAGACGTATGTATAAGAAGCTTGAAGTTTTTTGGGGATATAACCATTAAGTACAGGTACATGTTTCAGTAATTTGTTGCAACCTGGACTGATTTGGAGAAGCAAGATAAATTTAAGTAAGGGTATATTGTGCATGTGCAAGAGTTTCTGAGAAAATGATAAAAACATTGCCAGTGTTTTACACCTGTATATTGCGTTTGCACCTGCACATGAGAAATTAAGTGGAAAATCAGTTTGAAGAGTAAGATCTCAGAGATTGTGATCTATGGTGGGGCAAATGGAAAGATGCAAAGCGTTCTGCCTCCTGTGTGGGGCAGATGCTGTAGAATGGGTTTGCTTTCAGACCATGGGCAAAGGTACCAGAGGGAGGAGAATGCAGTAGCTGTAGGAATGAGGCTGGAGTGCTTGGTCCCCGCTGTCATCAGTGCAGGCTTTGCATGCCATGGAGTACCTCATATCAGTGACAACGCCATCAATAAAAAGGACAGGAAATAGTTGTCTTACTCTCTGAGCAATTTTATCTTGTTTATTTACTAATAAGAGGAACCTGTAAAAATTGTACCACGAGGTGACAGAGTATAGCGATGTATTTATTATGTGTTCACACACAGACAGAAGAGTTCAGGTAGTGAGTAAAAATATGCTCTTTTTGTTTCATAAGGTACTGAGAGTCTGTTTGAAGTCTTGATATTCTGACAGCACTGTACGGAAAAGCATTCAATAATTCAATATTCAATTTTTTTTTAATTTTTCTATCTGAAAATATCAAACTGTGATCCATCTGTGGGAGGTATTCCGAGCTGGCTGCTGACCCCCCCAAGATGTGGACCAGCAGCAGGGCTGACCTTGGAGCGGTCAGCGGTGCAGCGTGGCTGCAGCCTCCACTTCTGCCCGCTGCAGAGGCCAGGGCATGTTTGCCAGGACGGGTCCAGCCCAGGACCCCCCAAATTCAGCCCGCTTCACTGATGCCTCCCAAGCACAGTGACTTTCCTGCTTCCGTACAATACTTAGTTTGTAAAGCAAATTATCTTCCCCTAGGGAAGAGGCTGTGTCATCTTCTCAGTGTAGCTGGTGTCTTGCATATCATGGGTGCTGCTGGAATCTAATAATAATTAAATGTGACACTTCAGGGGATCGGCACAGCATGAAACACACTCTACGTGGGAGCTTGTTACAAATAAATGCATCAGCTTAACTCTCAGCTAGAGCTGCCATAAATTGGTGAGCACAGATGTCTGATCTGTCCAACTGTGTGGCTTTAGTTAACGGTACCAGCTACAATTAGACACTAATTGCGCATTCGCTGGTTATGAAAAAGCATCTCCCTCTCATTAAACTTTATATTCATATTGTTGTCCTCTGGGAACAACTCATTATGCTGCTCTGGGATTCCCACTGCTCTGATGAGAAACAGCAGTCAGCAGGGGTCACAGTGGAAATTAATAGTCCAGAAACACCAGGTCCAGCAGACACAAAAGGGCATAAAGCAAATAATGTGATCTAAAGACCTGTTGTTCTGTTAATCGCTATGCCCAAGGAGAGCTCAGCCTCTTTCCAGTGGCCCAGTATGGGGTGGCCCTGCTCTGGGAATTCCTGCCATGGAAAGCAGTACACCTTGAATTAGCCCCCTTAATAAAGCAACCATTGAATTAGCCCCCTTAATAAAGCAAAAATTTAAGTCGGAGCCGACCATTCCCTATTTATTTACCTCACAGGTGTAAAGGAAAAGCAGAAATTAAGAGGAAAGGCTCTGAGGTCTTCTGGCAGAGAGCAGGGGGTGGAGCAGGAGGGGATGGCAATGAGGACCTAGTGCAGGGTTATGTTCTTCCCCTCTGCATAGTAAAGAAAGATGCAGGTGTAGCACAGATGTCCCATTTTACTCCGTACCCTGTGAGCAGCTCAGGATAGGCCGTATGGAAAGATCAGTCTTTCTCCCGAAGGCACAGTTCATATTGCAACTCACAGCGATGTCTGCCTGTTTACAGGTATGTAATTGTTTCATTTTCATTTTTTGAGTATTTGCACTCTTTCCTGTGAGGATTTTGGAATTACACTGGTGAAGTGGGAAGACGCAGCAGGCAGTAATAGGTCAGGACACCTTCAGTGTATCAGTATGTTTGCTGTTGTGTCCTTTATTCTTACCCAATTAACACCAAGTATACTTGTATCCACGCAGCTGTAACAGTCTATGTCTTGGAAGGAACAGAAGGAACAAGTGTGGAACGCATTTACCAAGTTTATGCAGCTGACCCTGAAAATGCTGAACTCAAAGTAAGTTGTATTAAGGAAAATAAAACAGAGATAATATAATCCACTGTATCTGAAATGCTAATTGCCAGGGTCTTTCAACAAATTCCTTCCTTATCAGGAGTACAGGAAAAGGTTTAGTCAGGAAAAAAGAAGTGTTTTCAATAATAAATGAAGAAAACCCGGTCCCAGTGTTTGGGCACAAATTGCATTTTGAGTTCTCAGCCCTCCAAAATTAGGGGATATTGAAGGCAGAGTTTGATACAGTTAATCAGAGATACAGTGAAAATTGTCTCCCCCCACTTTTTTTTTATATCTGGCTTGCAAAACATTTCTTGTAAATGAGAACAACTAAAAGTAAATTGAATTTTTAACCTTCTGTATCGCTATGTAAATTCTTTTAAGTGAGACAGTAAGGAAATCGCTTACAAGGCAACTGCATCTCAGCTTTTTGACAATCTGAGGGGAAACTGTGACCCTCAGTTAAGACAAGGTGTTAGCTGATCTGAAAATACTCTTGGCATCGACTAAAAATTCTGGAAGGTGATAGGTTTGTTTGCAGACGGGGGAGAAGTAACTGCACTTACCTAAGAATTGTGTTGTAGCTTTGCTTCATTGGCTTTACAAAAGACAGCACGTTCAAGAGCTGAACCTGAAGATGCTACTTCAATGTGCAGCATTACTCAAGAGAGCAATTAGCTTGAAGTCTGTCCTCAGGCTTTGCCCAGCCAAACCACCAAGGCTGAGCTGGTGAGGAGGGAAGCAGAGGCCGGGGGCTTTAGCTCTGCTTTGTTTCTGAAAGCAACAGCTGTGAGTTCCACACACCTTCTAACCCCAGACGAAGCAAAATGAGAAGCTAGAAATATAGAAATTCTGGGCAGCAGGTAAAATAATAATCCAGAGAGGGAATTTAGAAAGGTCAAGTTTGAAAATTTTCATAGAAGAATTGTGATCACCTAGCTGCTTTTTCCAAAGCATTTTCAATTAAATCTGGAGGGAGCAAGTTGTTTCACTCAGCTCTCTGTACCTCCTGGTTTTTTTCCAAAAGGTAACACGAGAGCAGTTGCATCCCCTGGACAGGTCTGCTCAGTGGGTTTCACAGATTGCTTGTGTGGTGCACGGCCCTCTGATGTTCCATACTTCAGACTTTATGGGTATTATTAGCACCAGCAAAGGAAATGTCCTTAAGGGCTTACTGGTGGTGGCCTGGCAGGGGCACATGGTTAATAGCAGGGAGGACATGGTGTGTGTGGTAGCTACCACGTAGCCCTGGGGACCAGGGTGCTGCCTTTCTCCTTCTTGTGAAGGGTGTCATGGTTCTCAGCTCCCTCCCACACCTGTGCACTGCTGTGTTACCCCTTTGTGTTGCGCAGGGCACAAAGGGGCTGCTGCCACGTGCCACCGCTCAGTAGCCACCTTAACACTGAATTTCATTGAATTTTTAGAGTTGGAAGGGACCATAGACATCATCTAGTCCAACTCCCCTGCTAAAGCAGGACCACCCAGAGCTTGTCAGAGCATGTTACTCAGGGCTGTCGTGAACACCCTTCAGCCTCATACCCTCCTGTACTCCATGAAAGCCCACTCTCCCCTCCTTGCCTTCTACCATCATCTGGGCCATCAAACTTCATTGCCTCCTCCACAGCTCTTATGCCCCCAAGTCCAGCCTTAACCCTTCTTGTCCTTTGTGCGTGTACTCTGCTACCACCACAAAGCTGTTTTTTGCCTGCTGTGCTGTGGCTCTGCTGGCTGGCCTCTACGTTAAATTCTCATTGCAGACCTGGAGTTCACAGAGATGGAGAATAATGCGAGCTTTAACGTTGTTCAGTGTCTGTGCCTCTCCACTGGCTGCCAAGCAAGGCATGTATGACCAAGTTTGAGCTGCTGCAGCTCAGATGATCAGGGCTTGTGCTGGCGTCTGTATGTTTCACTACACAGAGTTTGGGGCAAATGCTGTACTATAACTTCGCCCGTTCTACAAGGCAAGGAATGAATGGAGGGATGTTTAAAGATACAAAGACTAATTCCTTGCTCTCTTCATTTCAGTATTCGCTGCTCCCTAAATCAGTGCCATTCTTCATCTTGGAAAGTGGAGCCATTTTTTCCACAAAAGTATTTGATTACGAGAAAGATCCACATTGGTGAGAATGTATTTTATTTACATGGTCTGTTATCTTACAGTAGGCAGAGAAATGTTTTCCTACATAACCAAGAATTATTCTTGTTTTGTTTTCTCATTTAATAGTTACTTTTTAAATATAACAGTAACAGACCCAGATGGTCTCAACTCAACTAGAACAGTGAATGTAAATATAATTAACATCAATGATGAAAGACCTTACTTTACCACGTAAGTGAAAAACTTCCGTTGTTCTCAAAATGTAGATGTTTTCCCAGCTTTACTGCTTGAGCACCAACGGGAGGGTGTAACATAAGGGCAAGCAAATATAACAACAAAATACTACTGAAAACAGTATTTTCATTTTGTTGTGATTCCTGTTCTTTTACTGGAAAGTTTTGACCTCATTTCCCTCTTTTATTCTTATTCATATTCTTAATAGTTTCAAGTTTTCCAGGCTATGCCTTCATGTTAAGAGCAGCCAAACAAGCTTGTTAGTGTCTAGAGAGGTTAAATCTATGCAAAGACCTTTGGACAAGTTCAGACAGGGAGATGAATTTTACCCTGTGTGAACACAATCATATAGACTTTACCCTTCATGCAGATGTGCATTTCACCATAATGATGTTTATTCATGTGGAAATGTCTAGACATAAAAAGGTCTGTCTTCCTCTTCTTCCCAGACACTTACCCTTGTAAACGATCCCGGTGATATCTGAAACATTTCCATCCCTTACTGTGTCATAAGCAGGAAACTGTGTCATAACACACAGGTCAGAAGTAGCTTTTGAAGATTAATGGAGTTTTGGTTGGAATCAGGAATATTGTTGAAAATTTGGAAAAACGGGAAAAAATATACATGTGCCACCAGCAGGCTGTTTTGCAGTAGAAAGCATGATGGATGATTGTTTCTGAAGCAGGAGCTTGGCAATTTCTGCAGTCGATCTGATTCTGTTGTTGATTTATCTTTGTCACTTGCATAAGCCACTGGTTGGATTCAAGTCACTCTCTTTATGTCTCCTGATCCTGAGGCTCCACCAGGTCCCTGCTGAGAATATTTATGGTGGCTGCTCTCCTGCCATCTCTGCAAAGGAGAAGACAGTGTAGCACCTGGGCCATGCCCAGAGGTTTCCAGCCGCTTGTTTGGAGCAATCTTCTGGGTGCTTTGTGGATACAGAGCAATGCACGGCTCCTGGGCCGAGGCAAGGATCTGGACCTTGCTGGGTAAAGGGGTGGAAAATCTGAAGAAACAGAAGAATGAAATGTTAGAAAAACATGGATTTTTTGTTGCTACTTATTTAATACTTGAAAATCATGTCTGCAATAATCAATAAGGTTAACAGCTCACTCCATGTTACTGTACTGCAACAAGCTGGAGGAATCCTCTTCCCAGTGCCAACATTTGCACATTGTGTTCTAGACTGATCATTTCCTCCAAATGTTACCATTTATGTTTATTTATCCTTATGTCTGGAATGCTAAAGGAGCTCTTTTCATTATTTATCTACTTGTTTGAGTTAGTGAAAGCTGCAGTGACATGAGCATCCATAACACCTATGGTCTAAGACTCAGTTCTCATATGGCACAAATAAAGCCTGGTATTTGTTTGAAACTTCTCCCTTTTAGATTGACACTACAGACCAAAAATGCTGCTCAGTTTGTAATGAACTTCAGATTAAATTATTCTTCATGATCTGTCCTCAGTATGCACATGTATGGCCCTTCCCCTGCTAAAATGTGAGCTGCATGCTGGGGCTAAGTACGTTCTGACACTATAATAATTAGTGCTGGGATGGGAGCTGGGAAATTTGACGAGTTAGCAAATCTTCTTTATTTTCTCCCGATCAAAGCTGTCAAGAACCGAGTTTCAAAGGGTCTTTTTAATTGTTCCCATAGTATATGCAAGCACATCTGGTTCTGGTGTTCACAACACTGCATTGGCATTCAGCCTTTTGAAATTCTGGCTGTTAAAATCAATGGAAAACTTGTGGAGTCAGGAAAACAAAGGAGAAGACAAGAAAACAAACATATGCTTCCTTCACAATTACAGTGTGGTGTCTAAAAGGTCTGCTTGAACCGTCCTGTAAAAATCCACTGGCAGGTGGCAGACAGATGGACAACAGGACACAGCCCAGACGTAGCTGCGTGGGAAGTGGCCCCCAGCTCCTCCCCAGCTGTACTTGGTGCTATGGGGATATGCTGGATAATGTCCTGCTTCTTCCCAAGACAGCTGGTGGGGACAGGACAACAGCCCATGCAGGCTGCAGGAGGGCCAGCAGGGCTATCAAGGTGGAGCTGTCGGGAGTTTGCTGTCCACAGAGAGGTCGTAGTTGTGGTCCCCATGGGCATAGGGAGTTCCCTGCTTCAAGCCAAAACCAGAGCTGTCCCTCCCATGCTCCTCAGTGATCAGAGAAGCATTTTAGGGCGGCATTTTTGGTAGCAGTGAAGGAGATCTATTGCTATTTGTTTTGTTTCTAAGTGACTCTGGAAACAACAGGAGAACAAGGAAGGAAGAGATCCAATGCCAAGAGTGAGATAGAAACTTAATAAATACCCTGGCTCTGCAGCCTTCACAACCTGCTTGTTTACTTCTGGCTGGCAGTTAGGTGCTTTTGCTGGGAAAACCCTATGTGATTTCTCTCCTGTGTGCTTTCCTCTTTCCACACGAGATGACAAAACAGTCACAGATACTGTGTCTTCTTAACCATTCTTAAAATTGCAAGCGGAGACCTGGACGCATGGAATCTTCTGTTCTGGCTCTGCAGTTCTCTACTCAAATTGCTAAGTGCCCCATGACAGTGATTTTCAGAGGACAGCAAAGGGCTCATGTTTTCCTGTACTGGGAACTATAGACTTGTCAATTAGCTAAGTGGTGACACAGGACGTTTAAAATGTGCAAAAACGATTCAGTCTTGAAACATACTCCTAATGCTTTTCTGAACTCTTGAGCACCTTCAACTCCCTTTGATATCTAGAAGCAGGAGATATTTGTGTGTGTTTCAGTAGTATAAATCAGCCTTTATAAATTCCTTGCACAATTTTTGTGTGCTTATCCATGCCTGTTTTTGCATGTGGTTCAAGTGTCATTGTATACCTGAGTACCCATGTGTTCATGCAACTGCAACCATTATAAGCAATCCTGCTCAACTGCTGGCCATACTGTATCTGAGCTATAAAATTCACTAAATTAATGGGAAGTTTGGGAGCACTGACTGGTATACCAAAGAGCAGCAGTAAGGAACCTTTTTCACTGTGTAAAATGAATTGGACAGACAAATGTTGCTGGGAGATTGGAGCATGTTCATTTGGTGGGCACCCACAAGAGTGCTCTTCCCTCCAGCTACTGCAGGGGCAATTCAGCTTTTTAGCAATACCGTTGTGCCTCAAAAACCTCTAGCATTCATTCCAAAAGACAATTAATTACATTACTGCTTCTATTTTTGTTTTTCTCTCACAAACTGAAGGAATTAAAGCGAGTGGTTTTACAAGCTGGTGGCTCTGCAGGGAGATGGACCGCATGACTTAACAGCCCCTTCCATCTTCAGCTTCCATGACTCTGTGAAAGTCAAATAGTTTTTACTGTGAAAAAGTTGCAGGGGAAGGAGACACTCGTTTGTGTGGCTATGTCCTGCCTTATGACCACATACCACTTCAGCTATTGCTACACGTCCAGCTGGCAGAACCAGCGACAGGGACATTTACCTCGACGTGCAAACAGCCATCTCTGACCCCAGCGTGGCCATGCCTCTGCTGCTACAATTGGCTGCTCAGCTAAGTCTATAATCAGCTTCCCTTGCAAACACAGATGTACGCTTTGCTGAATTTTGTTTTATCTTGTAGAGAACAAAGAATCTACAGGATTCCAGAGGAGCAAAGGCTGGGCACTGTTGTTGCTAACATAACAGCTAAAGATCCTGATGATGAAGACTCTCCCAGCAGACTTTTCTACAGCATCCAGTCTTCTGACAGATATTTCTCCATAAATCCTTGTAAGACAAACAAAAACGTGCCTTCTGATCCCCAGAAAAATAGAGTGGCTACTTGGGAGAAAATGTTTTAAATTGACTTACATTATTCTGTGGCTACCCCTAGAAATAGAAAATGCTCGGTATATTATTAGGGTGAAATTCTTTGATCAGATGACCAAGATTCAGTAAGATATCTTGAAAAAAGTAGACCAAAGGTGACTTCTTGACAAATACTGACTTACAGCTAGAGAGTGAGGATTAGCTGCCTTCTTTTTAATCTCTGAGGACTGCCCTGACCCGTCTGGGGCTCTTGAACCAGCTGCACATAGTTAGGCTGTAATGTCTTCTCTCCTGCCTGAAATCTGCTCTGGCATTGAGGTGCACAGCAAATCTGCGCTTCAGCTTCGTTGCTTGATTCATGACTCTCCTCAGGCAAGGCCATCCAAAGGAGTCCTGTTTCTCATCCTCGTCCTATCTTCTCCTGCTCTCTGAGGTTTGCACACCACTGCCCTGAGGTTTTAGCTCCAGGGCTGGCATTCAGTGACTGCATTTGCTATTGCTTTAGAACTGCTTATCTCAACTGTTAGAGATGCCACACAACACAGTACTGTGGGGGATCAGGATGATCCTTAAATGCTTTGGATTCCCTATGCCCTTTGGCCAGGTATTTCCACCCTAACCCTCAATTACACTCCAGGAGGCAGAGGATATATGGACAGTTCCTTTACCTCCTTTGTGCTCTGGGAATAGTATTGTGCTGTGTCGTAAAAACCTTTTCTTTTTGAACAGAGGCTAACAGAAGTGAAAAAAAAATAAAATAAAAATTAAGTGAATGGCTGACCAGAGAATTTGGCACAATCTGTCACAGCTAAGAGCAGCTCTGTTGATGTGCGTGTAGATTTAGAGGTGCTGAAGGATGCTTGAATGATTACAGTAGGAAGTGAAGTGGCCTCACCAGATAGAGAGCAAGGACAGCACAGGCATTAGCAGCTTATTGTCCTTGATGCTCCCTGTGAGTGCCCTCTACTCTGACTTGCACTAGCTCTTTGAGAACATAAGGGAAATCTAACTGCTTTCCAAGCCCTTTGCTGAGGCCATGTACGGCGTATTTTTGAGCCATGGTTATCTATCCATTAAAGTCTTACGTAGAACCTTCAAAGCCATTTGATATCATTTTATGAAATAAGTAAACCAGCCATGATTTGCACAGCAGAGCATACTTTTTATTCTGCTACCTGTCTGCTGAGATACCCTGTCCTCTTGCATATGCTCAATGAGTATTTGTTACTTCCCTCCACGGTGAGCATGTAACTTCTGGCTGCTTTCCACCCAGCCACTGGAGTGCTGCAGGTGACTGGGAGAATCGACCGAGAATCACACCCACTGCGGCTCCATCCTAACGTTTCAGTGATAGTCCGGGTGGAGGACAGTCCCAGCGGTGGTCACTACAGCGAAATGGAGATCACAATCATTATTGAGGATATCAATGACAACCCACCAGAATGCAATACTTCAGTCTTCAGGTATTGAGGCCCTTCATTGCCTTAGTGCTGCCTGATTGCCCCAGACCAGCATGCACTCTAGGACTCATCAGTTAGGGTCCCCAGACCTACAGCTAGAGGTTCAAATAGACATTTATCTCTAAGCCTTTAAAGGTTAGTGTTCACTGTAAATGTCTAAGGGCACAAAATTCAATTTCCTGACATGTTCAAACTGGAGATTTGAACTAAAAATATCTGTATATGATCAGATACTTTATTTATCTTTCTTTCACATACCTAAAGCCTATGTTTCTAGAGTTACCACAGAGTTGCCATGTATTATAGAGCTGCTTTTCTCATACAGATCACTGTACAGATGCAGGCTCCTCCTTTCTTGCTTTATGCTAAGCTGTGGGGAATCATTTACCAGGGAAAGCTTGCCAGTCAGTTCTGGAGTTTTATTTTAAACTGCCTGATCTTCTCTTCTAAATCTCTCCCTGGTGATCTGCATAGTTTTTGTCTAATGCAATCTGTAAGGTCCTCAGAACCCAGATCACCGCCTGTTATAGGTGTCCTCTGTGCATAGTGATTTAGTCATGGACTTTGCTATGGCTATGAGCACACTGAGACCATTGCTACAATCAGATAGTTTATGTTTGCAGATGACGACATAAAATTAACTCAATTTTACAGATGAAGTGTGTCATAGAAAGACTGAACCTACAATTGCCCATCTGAAATCTTTGTTTTGATGTGCCTGGGCTCTGATCTTTCAGGACATACCACATTGCATAGTGCACTTCAGGTGCACTTGTTGTAATTTGACAATCCTGCAGATTAAAATCCAGCATCTCAGGCCAAGAACCTGTGCAATGAGGAATTCCCAGTTAGTAGATACCTGACTAGATTGCTTCCTTACTGCCTAATAGAAATGCCTTGTATTTAAATCACATGATTTTACATACTGGCAGGAAGATAATCCAATTCTTCAGAGTGCTGCTTAGTTACAACATCCATGACAATAACACAATAGCCTCTTGCTATCTAGTGAACTTAAATTTTGATCTGAAGGAGACAAAAATCTTCAGGGAAAAAATGTGATCAAATAAAGAACTAGCTTTATAGGGATTGCACAAGGGAACAAGGGCTTAATGGTATTTCAGTTGGTTCTTCATTTTTTTGTATTTAATTGCCTTGACTAAAAAAAAAAAAGAAATTGGCACCCTCTGCCCTCAATTCCATCATGTGCATCACAGGGACTCTCACTGTCAACAGCAGGGTCAGAAATCCTTGTTTCACAAAACAGCAGAATGATCCAGCTATTAGTGAAGGAGAAAAGAACTAGCTTCTCATCAGGAGAACACTATAACATACTGAAGAAAGAAGTGTTTTAAAGATGTTCTGAAATACTAATTACTAATTGAACTAATCTTGAACATTAAGACCTTGTGGCAGCTTCTGAAGTTTAGCCGAGTTCAAGGTTTATGGTTTGGATCTGGTTAAATGTTTATGTCCTGCCCACAGTACAGGGCTGTTGTCCACCAAAGCATATGGATCACATTCTGGGTTGCTTCATCAGCTGGTGCCTATTTAGATGTATGATTTCACTTACAAAATAAATGGAAGTCAATGTTTTGGCATGAAATATATGAAGAGTTCAAGAGGAAAAATATAAGTTGCCCTGATGGGATATGTGTTTGTTTTAAACAGGAGAGAGGCAAATGAAAATACGACTGCTGGGACATTTCTTCTTGATCTCAGAAATTACTGTACAGATAATGATGTTGATCCATCAAACAATCAATTTAGGTTCACTGGATTATCTGGTTTTGGAAGCAATAACTTCGCTTTGGAGTCCCCTGTGTCTGGAAGACTTTTGGTCAGTCATTTGTGGCTTAATGTTAGATTGTCCCATTTCAGAAGTCATGTTTGTGAAATATGATAGGTTCTTTGAATTCACTGTCTGTAAAAGAAAAAAAAGAATTACTATAATTCATGTCACAGTGGGTATGATGTGGAGAATAAGTGTTTTGGCTGGATGCGAACTACCCTTTGGTTGATGCTTTCTATGGATCCTACAGAATTTGGTGAACAGAGAACTGCTTTCTCCAGTTTTAAATAAATGTGTTAGATATGATTGAAAAAAATAATCCTTTTCTAGGGAGTGTGAAGCATCAACTTTGATATGGATAAATACGGAAATGTGATGTCATTTCATACCCATTTTTTCATGACAGACTGTGGAAGATCTTTGCTATTCAGCATGAAGATTTGTAATACTTTAGAAATCCCACACTCAGTAACTATTTCCCAGCTCCATTGGTCAGAATTGTAAAACCACTTTGAGTGGTAAATTTTCACAAAAGTGTGGTGGGATTTGCACTTGTGTGATTTTGCATGTCAAAACATGGGTTCCTTATGTTGATAGCTGCAGACAGATTTGCATTGGCCAGAACCCCCACCGGTTGCTGGACACATGCAATGGTGGTTGTTCCGTTGCTTTAAAAAGAACTGTGAATAACTTCAGAAAAAGGGAAACATAACAAAAATAGACATGCTGTCTAAATGACAAGAGTGCTACAAAAGGAGTAAAATGATTTTGTATGGAATACTTTAATTTTTGATCTGAGGTATACACGTCAGTGAGCACTGCCCTTAGTTGCTTCATCTGCCAACATAAAAAGGATTTTCATTGCTGCACAGGACACAATTGTTGTCAGCCCTTTGATCACCTGTATGTATAATGAAACAGGCTATCTGAAGTGTCTTGATCCTCCAGGAATTTCCTGGTAGACAATCAACAGATGGCTGTGCTTTAGTCCTACTGCCCCAAAGTTTACGAGTCTCCTACAGAAAGACAGAGAGTCCAGGAGATAAGGATTTAAGTCTGCGTGAGCCACTGTTTAGTAACAACTTGGTTCCTGGATAAACACTCACAGCTGAACCTGATGCCTTTAATACATGTCTGCAGGCATGAGCTCAATGAGTAACTACTACTATTTAGCAACAGCAGATTCTTGTTGAGCCAACAAAGGGCAGAGTAAATAGCCAACTCATTACATGAGCTTTGAATTAACCAGGTAAAAGGCCAAGACCTCATGATCCAAATGATAAAACTTCCTGCACTTAAAGGGAAGAAATTTTGTTGGCAGAAGGAAAGAGTCTTGAATTTCCAAGAGACACCAAAGTGTGGACATGCAGAAAAAGCCTAGAATTCTATCCTGTAGTTGATTAATAGCCTATATTTCTCCTTCAGGACAATTCTATGTGTCCAAGGGGGAGACCACACTTAGTGAATGCTGAAAAAAGTAATTGCCACCATGTGTATTGTGAGTTTATGTAAGGAAGTATAAATACAACTGTGTTTCTTTTTAATTTAGGTGACTGAAAGTGTTGATTTAGAAAACCCGGCTAATCCAGGAGTTGAAGTTTATTCTTTGACTGTCAGAGTGCAAGATATTGCCAGTCCTCACTACACAAGCAAGTATCCCTTTTACACTTCTTTTGATATTTTCATGTGCTGCAACAGCATGAGGAGAGGAATACCATATGTATTTTGAATATATGCATGAGAAAATTTCACAGCCATACTTAACTATGATTTAATCTTCTGTTATATTTCCAGATATCATCTACATTTACATCAGGATAAAGCCAGTGAATGAATTTTTTCCAGTCTTCAGTGATTTATCATATGAATTTAATGTTCCAGAAATTACTAAAGGTAGAGTAAGTAGCACCTACATGATAGAAATAATGTTGTCATGTTGGTAAGTACCTTTTTGCTCCAAATGTATTTTCATATATTTGAATGAGAAGAATGGCTCAAAGTTCCAGTTCAACCAGGGTCTCACCATACAACCACCTACTACCCTTAAATAGACAAAGCTGGCAACAACTCCAATTGTACAGATGGAAACTGAGACATAGAAAAATTCAGTGATTGCACAAGAAGCCTGTGACAGAGCCAGGAATTGAACTCAGATGTCTTGTTTTAGGCCGTCTTTCTGCTCTTGTTAAATTAGCCTTTTGGAGGGACCGTGACAGTGCAAAGAAACCACTATAGACTGACAGAGATGAGTGAGGACTCCCTTGACCCAGGCATGGTGCAGGATGGACACCCCACTGTCCCCTTACACCCAGCTCACCTCAGGTGCAGTGGATGCCCTGGAGATGGGGTGGGATGGGAGTGCTCGGATGGGGAGACTTCACTCAGAGAGACGGCAGCCAGAGCATCTCCTCATGCCCAGAGCCAGGGTCCTTCCCATTCCTGCAATAGCCCAGGACCAGTGGCTACAAATGTGGCCTTAAAACTGAATTTGTTGAAACTGTTCACATGTTACTCCTACCTCAGCACCATTCCTGTCCTCTGGTGAGTCCTGTGTCTCATGAATTTGCAGAGCAGTGCCACGGCATCTTGTCTCCTTGGTAATCCTTGTGTGCTGGGTTTGACTGCCAGCCAGCTCTGTGCTGTGCTGCTCGGTACGCGTACGCAGAGGAGTTGGCACGGGAATGGCATCTTCCCTAGCTTCAGCCTCTTCCTCATGTGACCTGATGTACCAAACATGGTCCTTCTTCCCCAGGACCTCACTTACTGGCTTTGCTCTCTTGGCTAAATAAAAATTGACAGGTATGTTAGATACATGCTGGATAAATCTTGACCCTCATTCTGAACTTCCTAGAAAAATTGAAGGTGTAAGGGACCTCTGAAGGTGTCACGTCCAACTTGTGCTCAAAGTGATGTTAGTTTCAAAGCTAGATCAGGTTGCTCGGGGCCTCATCCAGTTGCATTTTGTTTGTTTGCTCTGTACTTCCTTTTCCTTAAAATGTTAATGAAATATGGACTTTCTGTCTCTCAGTTGGATCCATCATTGGAACAGTGAATGCCAGAGACGACGACTGGCCACCCAGTGTCATCACTTATTCCATTGTAGCTGGAGGAGGCACCAGGGATTACACAAATATTTTCTGGATCAGCCCAACTAAAGGAGATGTGAAGATTTTAGCTAGATTAGACTATGAAACAACTCAGAAACACATTTTCACAGTACAGGCCTCAGACCAAGAGAAGACTGCAACAGCATCTGTGAGTAAATCCCCTCTACTTCTCCCCTTCACATTTTTCTCTCTTCTTCCTGACAGGAATGGTAAGACATTGAGCAAAGCACTTCGGTCTGTAAAAGGCAAGCCCATCCTTGCACAAAGTTATATATTAAGTCAGATGAAAGAGGTGGTGTTCACTCAGTCTTGCTTTATTTCTTACAAGAAGGATTCAAGTAATATTTTTATCCTTTTAACTCTGTGGGTTTTGTTTCTCGGTCTTTCTTTCTTAGTTTACCTGGGTAGTGATATAGTTTTGTGTGCCCCAGACAATTTAAGATATTCCTTACTGCTACTTATATACTGGAAAATAGAAAAAGGAAAGTGTCTTGAGGCTAGGTAGCACAACCTAATTTTAGCCAAATCCTTTTTGGACCTTGTGTAGTGCCCCTTGGCCCTCAAACATACTTTTGATTTTGTATGTGGTGCTTTTTCGCTGCAAAGTGCCCAAAGTAATGTAAGAATCATGTTGCAGCCCATCAGAATTGTATTCTCATGGGGTAGGACAGAGGGGATGTGCTGCGTATCTTGGGGATGGGATGAGGGCTTGGGCAGCTTCTTGGGATGTCAAAAGGTCCATGCAATACAGCTGTGTCCACATGGCCTACTGGGGATGGACCTTTGCACATGCCTTCCCCTGACCGTAATCTAGCTTTGTCCCCAACAGTGCTATCTGACATTAGCCAAGAGCATGCCAGGGACCATAACATTAAACAGTAGGGTTGTGCTTGAGTTTGCTGCTCAGGCCTATTTTATTTAGAAAAAAGCCCAAATATAGGTGGTATATCTACAAAAGTATTTTATAGTCACTTCTTTCAAAGAATCTCAGTGTCCTTCACATACGGACTCCTTTTTACTCCTTTTCACATCTTCTCCCTCATGACTGCCTTATATTTGATTTTTGCACATCTGTTGGAAGGAATACATGTAAGGTCTGCTTTCTATTCCAGCCAAGCACCACCTATGGAGATGTTAAGTACTTGATCTCTCTATCACCTGTATTATTTCAGGGTGATGATTAAGGAAAATTTAGCATCAGGAGCCTTTTAACAATGGCAAGTTTAGCTGTTGCCTGTTAAAAACCAACAGACATTAGAGGAAAGAGCTCTGTGAATGGTAACCACCTTCTCAGCCAGCTAACCCCAGCTGATGTTAAGCACATCTGGTGCAACCTGGGGTGCTCCCAGCCCTGGAGAAGGCCATTACCAGCATTTCTGTCTCACAAGGAACAGTCAGGCTATAAGGAGTCTTCCTTTCTTCCATGGATCATGTTCTGAATTACTATTAAATATGCTAAGAAGCCTAACTAATGACTGTGAAGCAATTTGAGAGGTTTGAAAGGAAGTTTAATGAATATCTGGTACCATTATTGTTTCTCATTCTTTCTATGACACGCTTCAGGAAATTCAAATAGTCAGACACACCAGCTCAAAACCACCATGGTTTTGCCAAGATGGTTTGGGTTAAAGAACCTGTTCCCAAGTAAGTGCTGATCACAACAAGAAGCAAAGGTCAAACAATCACAGATATTTTCTGGTAGAAACTAGGTGAGAGGGGAGGTTCATTGCTCTTCAGCTGCTGTTGATCAAAAGAGCAAAATGGGAAAAGTCAAGCAGTTTCTGAAGTTAATAAAATTCTGGCTTAGCACAGTGGAGGAGCTTCAGCTTGCTACTGCTGTTTTCTTTCAGGTAACTGTCAATGTTTTGGAAGTAAATGATGAAGAACCAGTTTGTTCACCCAATTTCTATTCGTTTCAAATCCCAGTTAACTTAGCTGTTGGGACCAATATTAATGGCTTCAGGATTGAATGTCAAGATCGTGATTCTGATCCCAGGTCTTTCCGTTACTTCATTGATGCAGGTACTGAGTCATGGTGTGTGAGCCATGAGCTGTAAGCAGTGCAAAAATTCATGACATGTTTATATCAGTATAAATGTGATACGTGTTTATATCAGTAAGTCAGGGCCTGGCATTGGACCACGCTGCTGAAGCATTATTTGGTGACATGATTTTGGTCTGTGCCAAGCAGTACGTTCCTCAAAAGATCCTGGGCATTGCTGAGGGATCAGGGACCTTGCCCAACAGATGCTCTGTATGGTCTGACCAGGGTGAAGACCCAGGGGTTTGGCAGTACAGATGTGAGCTGTGCCATGCAGTTGGCCTCGGAGCCAGAGGGCAGCCCATGGCTGATAGACATGGTCTTCAAGGTCACTTCAGTTTCTAGAGCTCTATGTGGCAGCAGGAGCAAAACTCAATCCTTTTCATGTCTCTGATCTCTCCTACATGTGGTTTGCTTGGAGCCTGAGAGCTGGACCTTGCCCAGGCCACTAGCAGATTTCCAGATACATGGACAGAAAATGAGGGCCTGAGGGTTCAGCATCACTGAACTCTCCTTTGTGCCCCCACAGTGCAGAAAAAACCCTGGAGACAATTAATTTCTCCTGAGTCATTAGCTCTCTTCTGGGGGACCTGCTCAAAGGTCTCTGCCTCTGGGCAGAGGGAGAAGCCATGGAGAGGGGCTGCAGGGGCCTCTGGAGACACTGATTGTGTACATGTGGCCTAGGGGCCACTCCAGGGGACACCCCAGTAGTGAAATGAGCCCTGCAACAGCGTAGGGTCCTCACCCTGGCTGGATGCTGTTGCTTCAGGGTGCTCTCCAGGCTGTAAGGACAGGTCATTCAGGTGACTTCTTGTGTGTCCCGTGCCTCTGAAGTGTTTCCACAGCCTCTTCTCAGCTGTGTCCCCAGACAGGGTCTTATTCCGTATTTTAATACTTTTATGACTACATTGTTTTATCTGATTTTATATGATATCAGGAAGATCAAGGAGCTGTTCTTACCAATATTTAACTGCACAGGTGCATAGTAATCCATAACAAGTTGTCAACAGAAACTGATCTTTTTGCTTGTTCCAACCATTTACTTTAATGTGGAATTGTGTGTATTGTTTTTGTTTTTTGCTACTGCTTGCAGGCAATGTGAACAATCATTTCACATTTTCACCAAGTGCTGGCTCCAACACATCTCGGCTGATTCTTGCATCGAGGTTTGACTACGAGAGTGGACTTGATACAAACTGGATTTACAGACTGCGCGTCTATATAACAGATGACAATTTACTGTCTGCCAGGGACAAAGCTACACACCTGGTTAAAACTGGAACAGTGACTTTAAACATCAGAGTTATCCCAAACCCAACTACTGTCGTTGTCACAACAGTAAGTTCGCTGGAATTTATGTCCACTTCTGTGGTTCTTTCATGGGCTGCTCTCCATGGGGGTGAAGAAAAGAGGGTAGATGTATGCAAAAGAAAACCAAAAACCTACAGTGGGTCTAGTCCTTGGAAATGCTGAGCCCCGTGCTCTTACACTGGAGCCAAAGGAGGTTAAAGTGCTCAGTGTCATGAAGGATTGGGCTCAGGTACAGAGTCATAACATATGTTTTGTATTTTAGTTTCTAAAACAAAAAGGGCAAGTAGCCAAAGTACCGGGCATACTGCCATTACCACGTAACTGGAAAGTTAAAGATTCTGGCAGCTTTATTAATAAGGAAAGAGCAGAGGTTAACCTTTGCTTGGAACCTTGAAATTACCTCATGCATTTTGCACTACCTCTTTTTTTTTTATTCATAGCTATTCACTCTGCCAACTGTCTTGCAATCAAATGTGCTTCTTTAGTGGTGGGACACATTAATCTGTGGCTACCAAAATTGAAATGGGCAACAATAACAACAAGAAGAAATCCTCATCACTTAGAAGGGTTTTTTTTTCCCATCCCTGAGGTCACCGTCGTGTAAAACTTTGAGCTGCCTGTCAGGCACTGAAGTGGTTGTGCACAGCATCAGCATGTTGATGAGCTTTCAGCAGGTTTCAGACAGCAAATCCAGAGTGGTGGGATGGGTCTTTCCTGAGTTCCCTGCCCACATGGTGGTCCATAGCTGAGCTGGGGAAGCCAGCACAGCTTTCAGCAGCCAGGGTGGGATCTGGCCTTGCACAAGCTGTGGAGCTGTGGGCCTGCGTCCCAGCAATACACTCTACTCCTCCACACAGCCATCCCAGGCAAGTTCTGGCTCACCAGTTTCATTTTGGACCTGATTTTCATCTGGCTGGTGCAAGCTGTTTGGAGAGCTTGCTTTTCTCCTGCCTGCAGAAGGGGCACAGCCTGAGGGTCCAGACCACTCTGTCCCCATCTGTGTGCCAGCCACCACCTTCATCCCTCCCTTCACCATCTCTCCATCAGGCAGAGCCCACCCATTTTCTGCCTGTCTGCAGATTGTGTTACCCATTTTTCACTTGCAGGCAAGAATGAAAACATGAGTACGTAGGTGAAGGGGTAAAGAGCTATTCGTTGTAAAATGGTCTGGATCTGCTGGGGCTACTGGTAACTGAGGCAGAACCAAGGGGATCCTGCAAACAGCACATGCAAGCCTGGATGCTCTGCTATGAAAATGCTTAAATCTGAAGTCGCAGACTGATTAATAACCCTGTTATTATCTAATGCTCTGTTGGGAAGGAATAAATGGTTTTCTCACAGCCTTCTCCTCCCCCTACTTGATGTGGAAATGAAAAGTTAAGCTGAATAACAAACCTTATTCTGTATTTCTTTCCCGTGCTTTACCACAAATACAAACAGTCTAGACCACATACCACAGCGTTAAATCTGCCTCCCCAGAGATATCAGCCTTCCACTCTCAGTCTGTTTTCCAGAAGAGCACCTCCATTACAGCAGCTTCTCCCATCACTACTCCTGACGTGTTCAGTGTGGCAGCTTGATGCATCAGGTGCTGGAAGGCTGGTAGTGCAGAAAAGAAGCCCTGTCACAAAAAGTCACTAGTGACTTCAGTCCCACTGAGGATAGAGTGGTGGTGTTGCTCTTGAGATTATCTGAGAGTTTCTCTAGGGATTGGAGATACCTTTTTCTTTTTCCAAGACTAAATAGCTTATTTTACAGGTATCCTTAAACAGAAAAGAAATAGATACCCTACTAAATTTCATACACGATGTGATTACAATTGTCTTACAGAAAAATAAATAAAAACTCCAGTAGATGATCAAAACTAATAGTACCACACTGTATAATGACCCAGGTAGAGCAAATGAGTAATTTGTGATCTATGTGAGGCTAGTTTCGTGATGGGACCTTAATGAATGAGTTGCTACCACCAAGTGACGTGCCAGCTCAGAGACGTGTCTCCTGGCACTTGGGGAGATAGGAGATCGTGACTGCTCAAGAAGTGTTGTTTTTCCTTCTGGAACAAGTCACAGGGAAAAAAAAAAAAAAAAAGGAGTTTCATTTATTTTTATACAATAACCCAATTCCTCAGGGTTTAACTCCTCTTAGGAAAGGGGCCCAATGATCACTGCAATGAAGATGACCTAATTCCAGTTTTGCCTTAGGTAACAAGAAACCATTATCTCGGTAATGGCAGTATTCCCTGAACTTGCTCACCCTCCAACACTGCACTCGCAGCTTATAAGGCAACCTGAGGCTTTTAAACCCCACCATGGCATGCTTGTTTTAATATAAGACATTGAAAAATGATCTGGGATCTCCTTTTTGCATTGTGGGTGGGCTCCGTTTCACCTACCTTTGGTTGCCCCAGGAGCCTGGTGGTCCACCTCAGTTGTCTGAGCTGCCTCAACAGTCAGGTACGTGGGATGAATCACTGTCTCCAGCAGACACTATCTCCCTCTGCCCATCATCTGCAGAGCCCCAGGGCAAGCTTGGGCCAGGTGCTTCAGTGTAGAAGTTCAGCCAGGTGAAAGGTACGGTTGGTGTCAGTAACCTTGCAAGTACGCAGCCTTGAGGAACTTTTTCTATCTTGCTTTAAAAGCCCGGCTTCACTGTTGTGACCAAAAGGGAAAACATCTACTCTGAGTCAGCGTGGTACGTGCCGTTCGTCATCACCCTCGGCAGTTTGCTGCTCCTCGGACTGCTGGGCTACCTGGGGTTCCTGCTGGCAACGTGGGTCCGCAGCCACTGCCCTCCAGCAGGCAAAGCTGGCAGCACACCTCTGTGAGTCCTCCCAGATGTCACGCTGGGGAAGTGCCCAGCAGCACCCGGCAGTAACAGAGGGAACTCCGGCCTTTCAGCCGCAATGAAATGTATAATTTGGGTTATCTTATAGCAGTATGCCCTTCACTGTAGTGAATGCTATTAGCAGCTACAGTGATATTTGGTGTTAATGATAGGAAATGAAGGAAAAACCTCTGTGGAATTTTATTTCATGGATTTACTAACAATTTAACAAAAGCATTAGCTGAAGGTAACAGTGGAATTAACAATTACAGCCTCTAAAGGCAGCTACGCTTGTGGGGCGTAGTCAGAGCCTGTGCTTGACTGTGCTCACCCAAAATACAAATGTTTTTGGTTTGTGTTTGGCTCACACACCAAGGGAGCTCCCATCTAGGTAGTTACTGGATGCATATTCCTCCCCTCTCAGCTACAGACCCCAGAGTCCTTTCCTTGGTGCTCGTGCCAAATTCTTTGTTCTGGCAAAACTTCTGCAGATTTCCTAGAGCTTTACCCAAGCTCATTGCAAGGCTCTGGCCCATAAAGTTTGTGGTACCTTTAAGTGCTCGTGCTTGGCAAAAGCCACGGAAGCACCTGGGACCAGCTCTGGTTCATTGTGGGAAGTGGCAGAGAGAGCTGCTGGCTGCCTTCTCAGAGAGCTGCAGCCACTCTGCCTCTAAATTGACTTTTTACTTCACAAAACAAAGATAAGCAGCTCTTTAAATGGACTGGGATTAAAAAAAAAAAAAAAAAAAAAAAATTTTTTATGAAGGATTTTAAGTGACAGATAAGGGTTGGGAGAAAGGGGGAGGGAGAGTCAGCCAAAGGGAAATAAAGGACAGTGAGTGGGAAAAGTTTCCAAACAGGACAATAACTTGCACTCACTGATTAATATGGGGAGGAAATGGGAAGGTTCTTCATCAGCCCAGACCAAGCACCAGTGAGATGAAACCCTGGGCTTGAGTCCCCAGCTGTGACAATACATCACAGGTCCATGCAAAGGCCAAGGGAGATGTGTGTCTGCTCTGCACCCTTGCTAGAAGTGAGTTGGCATCAGAAACAACAGGGAGGCTCTCCTCTCACTTGTTCAGAGTGAGTTAGTTTGGTAACAGCTGTGTCTGCAGAGAGAAGGGAGCATTTCTCACTAATGACCTGGGATGAGTGGTGGGGGAGTGGGTGTCACTGCTGAGGATGAGCTGGCCGTGCATTACAAGCATTATCTTCTCTTGGTTACAGTGACTCACTCAGATCCTCCTCTGAGAAGGAATCACTTCACAGTGCTCAGGATTTGGAAGGAAAGCCAAAGAGAAAAAGCTTCAAAACCAAGGATTCAGCCTCAGACCTGGTCTCAGGATCCCCAGCCACCGACTGCTGGATCCACTGTCCGCTGAAGGAAGGACAAAACAGGTAACTACCTCTCATCTTATCCTTGTGGGCCTTTTCTTAGCCTTCTCAGTGCCCTGACTCAATATATTGAATGGCCCTGGAGCAAATATCTGTTCTGCTCTTGAGACCTCAGCCCCAGTAGTTGCAAGAGGCTGGCACAACCAGATAGGTGGGCTTTCAGCTTCTTGATGTAGGAACCCAAGCACCAGCCCCAATAATTGATGCTCTAGGGACAGTGGACACCATGCCTTTCCTTCTGCTTTGGAAGGCAGATTGTCAAGCAAATGCTTTGACACCAGTACCTACTGGGACCTCCAGGCTGCAGGCACCTAGTGGGCACAGCTGAATTTAACCCCATGTCCTGGGAATTCCCCTGTACTCTCCACTTTAGATATCTAACCAGAGCTGCTGCATTTTTATTTTCTTCCCTGGCATTTTTAGCTGGCTGAGAAATATTGAAAAGCTCCTCGCTGGCTCCTCCAGTGTTGGGCTGAATTTGGGAGATGGAAAGGGATTATGTTCTCTGACAATTCAAAGGTGGCTGCCCGCATCCGCACAGGATTTGTAGGCAAGGCAGATGTGCTGGTTGCACACAACGCTGGTCACATACACATCTGCCAAACGCTGTGAGTAATGGGATTTTTCAGCTCAGTGGGTGGAATAAATGGACTGGGAAAAAAAAAAAAAAAAAAAAGGATTTTTGTAAGTATTCTCAGGATTTGGACTTAAATTTAGACACTATAGTAAATGTAAAGAGGTAATATATGGCTGTGATTATAATTCAAATGGTGTGCGCAAGGAATTTAGCAGTTTGTGATAAAAATGACAAATGAATCTAGCAGCATATAGCCTGGCTATTGTTATTATTTATTAATAGGGCCAGGTTTTCCCATTAAAAAGCAATTTCTATTTTTTAAAAAACATTTACAACCTTTCAGATATTTTAAAAGGTATTATCTGAGCACATCAGATCAAAAAAATTGACCTTTCTCCAAGGATGGAACAAGATGACAATATTTTAAAATGTATTGTTCGAGATAATAGAAATCCATCATGCTATCATCAATAAGACCTTTTTTTTTTTAAAAAATATCATCCCTTCTTGGAGAGGTGTTAGAGCAATGCTCAGGGCTGTTTTCCTTAAATGATGCAGGCCTTCAGTAAAAGCAAAACCAGAAACCAAACAAAAAAAAGCAAATCCCAGAACTCAAGGAGACACATCCTTCTTGCCAAATGAAAGAGAACAAAGCATGATATTTTTATGTAGGCAAAAGTGTGACATTTGTTAACTACACTCTTAATCTTTTTTTCATTACAGGAGAAGTGCTCCAGGTATGTACCTCTTTTCTATATTTTAATACTTTGCAATAAGACCTTGTTTATGATTCAGTGTAAAATTTGTAAATGCATTTCTAGATAAACACAAGTACAAGAGTATTGAGATTAAATAAGCCTGGGTGATTATGGGAGGCCTGCCTAAGTGGTATCATGGTCCTTTTGGTCTTCAGAACTATTAACTATTAGGTGAAAAACAAATTCAGAGTGGCCCAGTATTCTGGCATGGATGCTAAAGAATTACTGTATTTTTTCACTTGCAATTCATATGCTATCTGTTAAAAAATAATCCCATCCCTCTATTGCACCTTCAAGAGTCCTCTGCACTCTAATTGCCTGTTCCCTGATCCCTCATGTGTTCCCTTGACACCGTTACTTCATAAGGGATTTGTATAACTTAGCAGGGGTATGATTTATTTTTTTTAAGTAGTTTTTTTAAGCAGTCGTGTTTCTTTTAGTCCCATTAGCTTTCTGCTAGCAAGCACTGCTCATGTGGGCTCAGTAAGACCCTGCTTTTATTACTCCCTCTCCTCAATCAGTATCTCCCAGCTTGAAAAAAACACAACTAACAAAACCCAACAAAATTAGCTGTTCTCTTGGTTGCCTAATTTGAGACATTTCAGCACTGGCTGGTTTCCAAAAAATGGGTGCTTGGTGCCTTCTGAGAAACTGGTTCCCAAATGCTGGGCAGCAAAGGCCAGACAGAACAGGTTTCCCATCAGTGCTCAGGTTGAGACCCATCTGCAGCACTTCAGAGTATTGCACACCCGGCTGTAAAGCCTGTTGGTGGCCAGGGATACAGCTCTCCACAGAAAAGCCATTAAACAAATTGGCAAGGAGCAAGCAAGAAGAAATCATAGCAACTAGTTGGGTATCATCCACAAATCCATGCTGTCGAGATGCCCATGGCACTGCTGCTGTATTTGTTTGCATGTGGGATGAGTTAATAGTGTGGTAAATTCACACATAACCAAACTGTTCTTCAATCTGAATTTTGCTTGACTGGATCTGCAGCACTTCCCTGTTTTGTCTCCAAGCGCGTGTTTGAGTGCACAAGCTTTGCAGCTACAAACATTCATGGAAAAAAAAATAATCTACATTTGTAGTTCAAATATCCCCAAAGGTGGATTTCTATACCTCCTCATATTATTTAGAAATGGAAATTTATTAAAGAAACCATTGTTATTTATTCATTACTGAAGGCTTTTTAAGGCTAAAATTTGATTGGTCATTGGCAACTGTGGATTCTCACTCCAAAATACTATGAAGGAGTTTGCTTTTCAAATAGTATGGGGGATCAACCTTTGAGGAGAAATAAGGCTCATGTGAGATGTCTCAGAAAATGAGTATCAAAAATGTCTATTTTTTTGAGGAGATCTTTGCTTTAGTGTCTATAGTTACTGTCAGAAAAATCTGATTCTTTACAATATGCATTTCCTTTTCTGTAGAAAAGAAGAAACCCAACAAAGAAGTGTTTGTGGTAAGTACAGCTGACCTCAAAACAAAATCCAGTTTTGCCCAGGATCGTAGGACCCTTTCTGTGAAAGGTGTCTGTTTTCTGAAGAGAACATCAAAATGATAGGCAAGGAAAAAAAGATTGCCCCCAAACACAAAACACTTCAGTGCCCCAACTGGTCTCTGTATTTGGAGGCAACACCATCTGTGAGGGGTGCTCACCTGTGCTGTGGCACTTTAATTAATGTATTCTCCCTCCCCCAAAGTTCTTCAGAGAGGGGATTCCCAAGCCTCCTCTGGGCGGAGGTGACCCTCTTGTGGTTGCACACGTGGAGGCATTTAGCATGTCAGACCTTATTAATTCTCCTTTGAACATCTAGTGGCAACACCCTATACCACAAATGGCTTTTGTTGCCAGTTTTGATTAAACCCAGCCTACAGGAATGCAATATGCAGGTTGTACAAATCCGCCTCCATCCATGTAGGTCACCGTTTCCAAGTCACTGCTCCTCCTTCTTACTTAACTGATTCACAGGATGCATTTCACATTTTGTTTCTCTTCACAGACAGTGACAAAGCTAAATGCTGTCTTTGATGGAGAAGCCAGAGACCCAGGTAATAAAAAGCAATTAACAGTGGATATGAATATTTGGCTGGAAACAAACTGGATTAGTTGATTTAAATATGGTTCGACATTTGCTTTTCATCTTTCAGGTTTGCTGTTTCCAAGGAGAAAGGGAACTATATTTCACAGATAGTGAAAAGCAAGGCAGTGCCCTAGTAACATTTCTGATGGTAGAATATGCTTGTGTCCCTTGAAAGCAGACACAGGATGGCCAGATTATTCACTGATCCTCTGCTGAACCTGATTGTATGGACCCAGTATTGGGAGGTGGGAGGAGGAATTGGCTGCAAGCCACCTGCTCTGGTGCTGTCAGGGCTACGTGGTTTCACCCTTCCCATGGCTGGGAAAGGGCCAGCAGATGAATGCAGCTGTAGATGTACTGACTTTGTCTCCGACACCTCTCCCTGGATGCAGGGGTGGGGGTGTGAGTTACTCGCCCCTGCACAAACCTCCTCCCTCATAGCAACAAGGGTGCATTGCTGCTTAGAGCTCATCACTGCTTGGGGAGGAAAGGGAAGACCATTTGCCTTTAGATATTTGCCTTAGATAGTTGTGGTGGCATCAGCTACTGAGTGTGTCACCAGGCTCCCACTATGCTAGCTCTCAGCATATCTGATGAACTAGCTGGGAAAAGTGAAATTAATGCAAAACTGGGAAATCCTGAATGGCCCACGGGGTGTAGAGTTTATCCCCTTCCCCAAGTGTTGGCCATTGTACTCTGCAGCAGGATTCATAACAGAAAAATGCTTTTTTTTATTAAGGCTTGATCCTTACCTCATCCCCCCAACCCACAGCCCCTGCCTGAGCCCACACCACGATGCTTGGCCTGGCATTAGGCTGCCCAGCCCTGCGTCTAATGGCTGAGGGCCCCAGCATGGAAAGGGGGGCTGCTGGTAAAATGTGACAGTCAGTCAGAATAGGTCCTTAAGAAATAGATCTGAAAATAGCTCTGAAACAATAGGTCTAAAAATTATCCAGAAGAAGGCAGGCTTGTTTCAAGTCTTGGATTCATCTGGTTGAATTTCCACCCAAGCGCCTGTACCTTGTGTTTCTTATTAGCTGGCTCGGAGCTGTTGGATGCCATGAGCTAATGGGAAACACTAGGCATGGGGACTTCAGTAGAATTTGGGCAAACAAACGAGACCCTACTGTGCAATTAAGTCCATCCACAAGGCTGCTCAAGGCCAGCTTGGCCCAAATCCAAGCCCACCTGCTATTTATAAAGAGGTCTAGAGGGATGGCCTCCAAAGTCCCTGCCTGTTCTCTGTGTAACTGCATTTGTGATATATCAAATGTGGATGTTCTCTAGGCCTCTGCAAGAACTGCTTCATGGTGTTTCTGCAGGACAGCTGGTGGCTCCCTTCCTCAGCAAACCTGACCACACCAGACTGGAGGATACCTGAGCCCATCCAAACTGTCCCCCAGGGCCGTAGCGTTTGTGTTATGCCTGACACAAACATTAAGCTATAACACATCTTTGTGGTGTCCGCAGAGAAATGTGTGTTCCCCGCTCCATCATACCTCCCCCCTCCCTGGCTCATCCCAAACCCTAGAGGATCAAGTACTGGCAGTTTGGAAATGAGATTTAATAATTCCCAGGACATCATCTGTTGAATAGGATTAGGAGGGATGGTCAGGAGCTGCTTCCTGATCTGGGCTGCTATAACACGCCTGTCTTGTAAGCAGTCAGAAAAAATAACATGTAAAGAGATCCAGTTTCATCTTTAATTGCTCAAATTGTGTTAATGTGTCAGAAACCATTAATTCTGATACAAACTGTAACATGTAGTAACACGTAACCACCGTTTCTTTCCAGGCATTAATGGTCTTTTGTTTGTCTCATATTAATAATGTTTAATTACAAGAAGTGCCACTATAGCTCCTGATTATCCATCTGTTTAGCAAGAGACAGTGATTTCAGCTGTGAGGCAATCACACTGGACGCATGGCAATTTTTCCACCTATCTCTAGGCAGTAAATAAACTGAAGGAGAAGATACTTGCTTTTAATGTACAAGTAGAAATTACCCATAAAATCTTAAGACGGGCAAAATTCTTTCTAATAAGGAAAGGTATCCATGTGTGCTAAACAACCTAAATTTAACAATTTTTTATATATATGAGGGAAACATATACTTGCACAAACAGAAAATACATAGTATTTCACTTTATTAATGACAAATGTGTACAGCAAGCCTGGAGGAAAGCCTTTTGTGCAAATAGAAGAGCAATGCATGCAGCCAGAACTCATTGGGGATCCTAGATCTCCAAATCTTGGGTCAACCTGGATGACCTGACATGTGTGCAGCATATTGCGCTCCTAACAGGTTTTGCTACCTCAGGGAGGCAACTCCCCTTGAAAAGGTAAGCACAGACATAAACAATGGCCTTGCTCAGCATGGCCAAAGGCAAAAGTTTCGGGAGAGTTAGTCCTAACAACTAAGGACTATGGATGTGTAGTTGCACTGCCCACTTTCACCCGGTAGCCAGAACTTGGATAAAGGTATAGGATGGTAAGAAGGTTATTATTTTTTTTTGAATATTTTAAAATTTAAATATTTTAAATATTCCTATCCCCCGAACTGCAGAGCCAGTTTTTATACTGAGAGAATAGCATCTCCCCCAGGTGGCCATCACAACGCCCAGGTCCCCACGCTCACTTTCCCTCTTGGGGCTGCCTCCCCATCTCTGCTGATTTTCCAGGTGCTTCACATTCTTGTTTCAACCCCACTCGGAGGAGAACTGTCATGTCTTAATCTGCTAAAGCAGGAATGATTTTAATCAGTTGTCTTTTCTACCTTGCAAGTTACTGGCAAAATGTACGAATTCAATACACGGTCGGGTGCCCGGAGGTGGAAGAAGAACAACGAGCCCCTGCAGCCGGCGCCAGCCATGCAGGTAACATCCAGTGCCACAGATAATAGTGGCCAAGGGATGGAGAGAGCAGAGGCACCAAGCAAAAAAGAGCCTTCAGAGAAGAGAAAAGAGCCAACAGCAGAGACAAAACCGAGCACCAAGCCCTCGGCAGGGCAATCAGAAGCACCAGGCCAGGATGGGCTGAGATTACAAAAGCAGAAAGAGGAGTCTGAGCACAGGGGGTTGCCCTCACCAGCCCCCCAAGGCAGATACTAACCTGTTCTCCCAAAATGAACACTGCATTCCCATTAATCCAGCCTTAAAGCAGAGTATATGAGACTCCAGGAGACCCCCATAAATGACCCCTGCTCTGAAGAGCCAAAGAATCAGATATCATTTTCTCTCTATATATGTGTCTCAGCTGCAAAACATAAGGTGGCCATTTCTTTGTAAACTGGATCCAAAGGCAGGATGAAGCTGGACTTACTTTTGGCAGGTTCAGGCAAGAGTGGGAGAAAAGGGAGGATGTGAAATGGGGAGAAGAGGAAAGGAGAGCAGAGTTACAGACAGAAGCATCTGCTGCCCATTGGCCATGGGCTATAGCAGCTGGCAGTTTCCTCCTGGAAGAGCTCTGTGCCCCCAGGCTGGCATAGCCACCTCCTCTGACTGCCTTTGGGGAGGGCAGCGTACACATGGACATGCTTTCACACCAGTGAATGTGGTCCCCTGTCCCTGCTGAGCAGCAGAACGGATGAAAAGCACATCAGGGCTGAAAAGTTTGATGGTAAAAGCTAAAAATATTTTCTTTTCATTCAGTATTTTATTTCAGCCCTTCCTCGCCCCCCCATCTTGCTGTAGAAAAGATCATGGGTTGAAAGCAGTTTTGGAGTGGAGAAAACCCACAGCTTGTTATGGTATCTCAGGCTGTCATGTCAATGTTTTCAGCTTATTTATCTTTTGTAACACTAGAAGCATTCAATATCTTCACCTTTGGTTTTTCCTCTAGCATATTTAATGTTTTACAGAATCAAGTGGAACACACTCAGAAGACTAATGACAGTAAACACGTGGGGTGAAATAATCTTTTCCAAGTGTGGGCATGTATAATGTTAAGTGCTGTCTAAGAACCTGATATAAAACAAGCAAACCCTACCAGGATTTCAGAAAATTATTTTAATCTGAAGAAAATGAATTATAAATGATGACTTAATACTCCATGTCTTGGCTTCTTTTCTTTCCTGGTTACAGGACAATATCTTGGTGGCAAGGGGCTGATATCAGGTGGTAAGAGAAAGTTGAGCAGGGACAGTCAATGCAGATTTTATCCAATCCAGCACATACATTGTTTATCGTCAAACAATGGAGGACCTGGATGGAGGGGCCCAGGGTGATTTCACCGAGGATTCTACACGTTACAAAACCACCCGTCACGGTGCTGCGACTCTTAGCTGCGCTCCAAAGGAGGGGTTTGGCTCGGGAACAACTTCCCTTGCAAACACCAAATGTCTTCAGCCAAATGCCATTTCATTGCGCAATCAGAAACCCAGTGTGTCACCAACACCACAATGATAGAGATAGGAAAGAGTGATTTATACTCTCTGAGCGTGTTATCAGTTTACTGTGTCTGTGGCGGTTGTTATAGTGTTGTTTGACCCTGCAGCACCACCAGGGCTAGCCACACATTCAGAGCTCCAACCCACCATTGTTTGCATTCGTTTGCTGTAAATACAATATATTCAATTTCTATGCAGGTGGTTCTCCAGTGACATAGAGAAATTCTGCGGTAACTAGTAGTACTGCTATAACTCTCATCTTTCTATTGCTCTCACACAGAGCCACCCACAGACACACCTGGCACTTACAAATGTTAAATCTTTGTTACCTGAAGTTACCTGCATTGTTTTTGTGAAAGGAAGACACACAGGCTTTTGTATTTATTTTTATGGGTAATTCTCTAGGGCAGCCTTGATTCCTCTCATTCTACTTTTGTAAATAAGAGATAATTACCTGTTTTTAAGGGGAGGCAGAGACAGGCTGTAGTTTCAGGCAGGACACCTGGGAAGGGCTGGATGAAAACTCATCTTTCTTTACTACTGTTCCTGCTGCTGAACTGCAGGAACTTCTTTCCTTCCTTCTCCCCACAACAGCAGTGTAACACAGTATCACAGCATGCTCTGAACATCCATGTACACCAACACATCGTCACAGCCAACACTGCTGGTGCCGTAGTCTCCCACAGCTGGCCAACAGCTGGGTGAAAAGCAACGACCCTTGCAGTGATGCCCACACACTCTAACCTCTGAACGAGTGACAGCTCTACAAAGAGGCACCACGAGTCTAAGAGCTGCCAGATCTAACACTGCGCTGGGTGCCCCCTGTCCAGTGGAGGTGAGTTTAGCTGGTGTGCTCAGCCTCTTGGGGGGCAGGTTCAGAGAAGATAAGCTGTCTTGTGAGTCCCATGCAACTTGCTGCATGAGGAAAGAAGTGTGCTGACCCTAAAGCACAGCTACGTGCGTCCTCACTCGCACTCTTGGTTCAATATGGGCAAGGCTTCATCAGAGCATCAGATTTACGCAAAAGCAGCGCAATTTTCCTATCAGCTGCCCCTACTGCTATTGACTTTCTTCCCTGTGAAGGAATCAAGAATGGATTCAGGTCTCACCAAGCTTAAGCAGAGCCATTCATCTCTTTGGCAGAGCAAAAGCAGAGAAAACAGAACTGACTGACCTAAAAATACACTTACTGCATATTGTATGGAACAATATATGAAAAGATACTTTGAACAGATGTAAAAGAAACATGCATTGTTTCATAAAATACAGATTACAATACTTATGTTGTGCAGTACAGCTTTAAATGTTAGAAACCTCATCTAATTGCTAAACCAGCTTTTGTCCTTTTTTCATTCAGAAGTGTCATTGAGAACAGCGATTCAGTGTTGAAAACTGCTGCTAGACGGACAAGAAAAGCATTTAATTATTGGAACAATTAGCTAAGACTGTGAGGCCTTTCCATCATTTGAAGTCTTCAGAAGTCAAGAACGGCTGCTGTGTGCGCCATAGAAAGTCAGACTAGATGATGGGAACAGCCTCTCTAGTCTTCAACAGCTCTGACTGTCTCTGTGCATACAGTTACAAGGTGTGAAATTTGGTGCCATTTATTTCAGATGACACCGATAAGCTGAGACTGGAAGAGGAAGAAAGGCACCTGGTGGTTCAAGCAGAGTGACTGGGGGCAACAGTTCCTGACCTCCAGCTACTTGTTACACATTATGCATTAATTCTATCCAAAGTCTACAAAAATCAGTGTGAGTGCTGCCACAGCTTTTGACTGCTGCATCTCCACCCATTACACATCCCTGAAGGGCTTTAAGACCTTTGGATTAACGTTGCTCTGAAAGTTTCAAGAGAGATTACAAAAAAGTACAGGTCACTTGTCCTGGCTGGGTCTAGTTCCCCCGGTAGTTTGTGTGTGATCATATTACTGGGTTTTTGGTGTTTTTCTCCAAAGTGAATAGTTCTAATGCATAAATGCTTTGCTTTCATGTTGGTATTATAAATAGCAATTGCAATAAACATCAGACTTCTGGCCATGTAACTTCATTTTTATCAAAGAACATAAAAGTGCTGATACTGTATTTGTTCATGGTCTCCAGGAGACCTACACAGGAGAACATTTTCAGCTGCAGAGATGGAGAATGTCTGCCCAGGAGGCTGCCACTAGGAGCAGGAGACGGGGCTTTGTCTCCCTTAGAGAAGAGGGGATCAGACAAGGGGAACAATCCTCCTTCTCCTGAAGAAAGAATCTAGCTTCTAGGTTACTTTATGAGACCCAGATTGCAGCACCATAATAGAAGTAACATTTTAACAGCAAGCAGCCACAACTACATACTGTGCACGCCTCAGCTGATCAGTTGCCTGAGATCCCCAACCACAACAGGCCCTTTGCAAGGCTCCAGCTCCAGGGCTGAATGCAGGCTTGGCTCCCGATGGGCTTCACCCACACATGCCTTGTCTGAGATAGTCACTGCAAGCTCCCTGTGTAGTCACGGGGGAGACAGAGACACTTGGGGGGTAACTTATTGCAAATTAGACATCTGTGTGGAATAGGTCAGACAAACTGTCCCCTGAAAGAAGCTCTTTCTGTCTGACAAGCCTATGCACCACACATGCAAAGGTAGATCAGCCCAGGTTGCTCAGGCGAGGGCAGGTCTGTGCTGCTGCTGTGGTGCCCAAGGAAGCTGAAAACCAGCAGGGAGGTGAGCACAGAGGTCAGCCTGGCTCTGCTGCTGCCTGGGCCCATCTCAGGAGGAGATGGAGCACCACTCACGCTTTGTTAGCACTCTGAGGTCTGCAGGCTGCTTTCTGGGACCTCCCCTTAGGGTCATTCTGCATTTGGAAGCATGTTAGAAGATGTGCTTCAGGCCAGCCAGGTAGATGAGCACAGGCCTGGCCAGGAGATGGAAGAAAACAAATATAAGCTTCAGTGGGTTTCTGCAACAAGCTCCACGTTATTGAGGGAAAGACACAGTTGCAAACAAAATAGATAGATCTTACTCTGAATGTCATTCAAGGATGTCACCACTCTGCACTTCCCTGGTACCAAACTCCAGCTGCTACAGGTCAATAGACTCCCTGGGATTTGATTTGGAAGCAAGGTCCTTGCTTAACTTCAGGGCTTGAAAAAAGCAGATGGTGAATGACACAGGGCTTGGTCCAGCCACGTACTCATGTCTGATTTTCAATTCCTTCCCGCAGATACCAGCTGGGACCACGCAGAGGGGAGCAGCAGTGCCATGTTTGCACAGGACCTACCTGGATTAGCCCCACCAGGCCCAGCCCTGCCGTGGTGCCCACGCTGGGCTCACCCTACGGCACCCTGCCTGCTATCGAGCCGTGACAGCCGACTCTTTCCAGGGGGGCTGTGCCTATCCCAGTGCCAACGAGCCTTAGGGAGGGTTTGCGGGCTGGTGTCCATCCATGCCGGCAGCAGAGCTGGCAGGGCCACAGGCTGAGGGATCTGCACACTTGGCAGAGCTCCGGGCATGACATCCGACAGGGGCCAGGCAGGCTGCCAGGACAACGCGTGCATGTCTGGCCACACAGGCCCCGGGGAAAGGAGAATCACAGAATCACCTAGGTTGGAAGGGACCTTTAAGATCATCTAGTCCAACCATTAAAAAAGGAACAAAGCAAAACAAAAAAACCAACAACAAACTCAAAACAAACCAACATTAAACCATAATCCTGAGCACCATGTCAGCTCATCTTTTGAAC